ACGACATGATAGTCATACCACTGTCTCTCCCTTGGATTTCTGCATCAGTCTCCTCACGAATCTCCAGCCTCTGCCTTGCTCTGATAGCCTGTCCTGTAGTATTGATAGATCTGTTCAGAGGTAAGTCCAAGCAGGTGACTTCTCTGCTCAAAAGCCTCCATGGCCTCCCATTTCCCTTACAGCGAAAGAAAAAAAAAAAAATTTTAAATGGTCCACAATGTCCTACAGGTACCAATAGCCCTTTGGCCTCGCTGCCTGCGTTGCTTCTGCTCTCGCGCTTGACTCCAGGAACACGGCTTCCTCGGTTTTCCTGAAACAAGTGAGAGAGACTGCCGCCTCAGGCCTTTGCTCTTGCTGCTGCATAGCAAAAGAAACCACCAACAAAAAATCAAGAAAGCCCACTGCATGGGAGAACATATTTGCAAATGTTATCACCAATAAGGGTTTAATCTCCAACATTTATTGGGAATTCACACAACTTAACAAAGGAAGATAAACAACCCAGTCAAAAAATGGGCAACAGACCTAAATAGAAACTTTTCAAAAAAACACAGAAGAGAGGCTAAGAAACATATGAGAAGATGCTCAAAGTCACTAATCATCCGAGGGATGCAAATCAAAAGGACAACGAAGTACCATCTCACACAGGCCAGAATGGCTGTCATCCACAAATCAACAAATGACAAGTGCTGGGGAGGATGCGGAGAAAAAGGAACCCTTGTGCCCTGCTGGTGGGAATGCAGACTGATGCAGCCACTGTGGAGAACAGCATGGAGTTTCCTCAAAAAACTGAAAATGGAGCTGCCATTTGACCCAGTGATACCACTGCTACCCTGTTTCCCCGAAAATAAGACAGTGTCTTATATTAATTTTTGCTCCCAAAGATGCGCTAGGTCTTATTTTCAGGGGATGTCTTATTTTTCCATGAAGAAGAATACGGTATACATTTATTGTTAAATGAAAATAAAGGAAATTTATTACCTGTATACAGTATGTTAGTACAGTAGTTATCAACACAAACCAGACAAACTGTGAATCCTACAGTATCAAGAATTTACTCATTTATTCAATGACAATCATGTCATCATCTTCTGGAACATCATCATAACAATCCAATTCCTGAATTTCCTGGTGAATTTCTTGTGACTCCATTTCTTTCAGATTCAGTGGACCAAATCTCTCATGTTTAGCAATAGAACTGTCTTTAAATGAGTACTTCTTGTCAAGGTAGCCTGCTTGCAGTGCATTTGCAATGCAACTGTCAGTAATTTTCTCCAAGGGGAGGCCTTATTTTTGGGGGGGATGCCTTATATTTCACTCAGAAGGAAACCTGTAAATAGGTCTTATTTTCGGAGGATGTTTTATTTTCAGGGAAACACGGTAGGAATAGAAATTAGAAACTAAAAACACCGATCAGAAAGGACATATGCACCCCTATATTCATAGCAGCACAATTTACCATAGTGAAGATTTGGAAACAGCCTAAGTGCCCATCATCAGATGAGTGGATTAAAAAATTGTGGTACATCTACACAATGGAATACTACACTGTGGTAAAAAAAAAAAAAAAAAAAGAAAAAGAAAAAGAAAAAAAAAGAAGGAATTCTTACCATTTGCAACAGCATGGATGGAACTGGAGAGCATTATGCTAAGCAAAATAAGCCAGTCAGAGGAAGATAAATATCACATGATCTCACTTATTTTGTGGATTATAATGAACAACATAAACTGATGAACAAAAACAGATACAGAGACAGAGAAGCATTGATCAGATTATCAAACCTCAGAGGGAAGGTGGGGGAGGGTGGGGATAAAGGGAAGAGATCAACCAGAGGATTTGTATGCATGCATATAAGCCTAACCAATGGACTCAGACACCAGGAGGTTGAGGGCATGAGTGGGGGTGGGGTGGGGAGGGCAATGGGGGGATTAGGACACATAATACCTTAATCAATATAAGAAAAAAAATGTTCAGATATACTCTCACTTCAGGACCATGTATCTCCTAAACTCCAAGGGACCCCACAAAACTTGCAACCAGGGGAGGAATGGGCATCGAAAGCTCATTCCAGACTAACCCCCTGAAACTGTCTCTGAGGACCCACTTTCTCTGACTTCCGAGTGAGCCAACGCCACCCAGCCTAGGCTCTCCTGTTGCGTTTTCTGTGCCCTTCCTTGTTTCGCTGTCCTAAGTGGGGGTTTTTGTTTGTTTGTTTTGCTGCAGTCAATACATTCTTGCTTGCTTTTCTAAGAAAAAATGTTCAAACAGAGATAATGGAAAGGCTAATGCAATGACACGCATATACACAACCCCAGATTCAACACTCAAGGTCTTTTGAAAGAAAGATGCTAACATCATGACATTTCACCTACTGACTTTAACAAAACACAGTCTATGTTTGGTGTCTCTATCTTGTTTATCATCTTTCTTTCCCCACCAGACTGTGAGCACCATGAGGACAGAGACTTTTATCTGTTTGGTTCATCGTGGTATCATCACTTCGAGAACATCGCCAAATGTCTATCGTTCAGGGGAAGAAGAGATAAGACAGGTCCTGATTCTGGTTCTGCCTCTAGTTGACATATGATTCTGGGGGTCATTTTCCCCTTGCAGAACCTTGGTTTCCTCATCTATAAAGTGAGGGGAATGGTACTGCTTCTCAGGGTTGTTGTGAGGGTCAAACAAGGTAAGAGTGTACAATAGCACTGTTAGCATGTCAGTTAAATTTCCCCCTAACTTCTTGAGGGAGGGGACTTGGTCTAGTCTGATCTTTGGAGGCTGGGTTCCTAGAAGGCAGAGACACCTTGCTCTGGGATGTTCTTAGATGCAGGACCTAACACAGCCTCTCCAGAGAAGCTCTTTGACTTGATCTGCTCCAATGGAAAATCCAGGAGAAACCCAACAGAATGTATTCCCTTGTGCTTACCTGCCCTCTCTTTCCATTGCTTCCTCACTCAGTGCAGCCCGATAACCACTCTATTTCATCTCTCGCTTTACCTACTCATGAAACAATTTTCTCCAGATATACCTAGGGGAGGAGCACTCAGCTCAGTAAGTCCTGAGATCCTATTGGATGAATGTCTTCCATGGATCTTCGAGTATGTCTAAAGAGCGGTCCAGTCTCCCTTGGCCTCGTCTGCATTTCAGATTACATTGTGTTTCCATGTTGATAAATTCGCCTTGCAGACTCACCTTGAACACAAAGTTGGATGTTTGCTGAAGAATGGGACTCATTCTGTTGAAACACACATCTTTGGGGGGGTTCTCATTGCTCGATAGTGGGTGGAACGCCTGGTCTTTTGCAATCTCACAGATAACCATCGTCTTAACTTCACTTGCTATGGGTGTGTAGGACAAAATGTTTTCATTGAGAATTCTTAGTCTTTATCCCATTCTCTCCCCTCCAAGCTGAAACTCTGGAGCAAAACTTCAATTAGTTTAAGGGAACAGTTTCCTAATCTGTGTGGATGGGGGGGGGGGGGGAAGGAGTTGAATGGAAGATAACCCCACAGGGTGATAAGGTCATAAATTCCTAACTGGGCAGGTCGTGGTGGGTAGTCTAGCTCCAGGCCTATACCTTCTTTAGTGAAAAGTTTTAAGCCAGCCCTGTCCATTGCCCTTGGGCATCTATGCCAACACATCTCTGAAATGCCAGAAGTAATATCCTCAAAGGGAATATTAACCCTCAAGAGAGATAGAATATTGTTAATGATCCTGTAATCCAACCCCCACCTTGCTTTCTCTAATCTTCCTTAATTTCAAATGCATACAAGAAACTGCAAAGCTGTTATTTTCCAGGGCATGTGAGCTCCTGGTCCCCAGCATATGTCCTCAGTTTGGCTCAAATAAACTCATACAGTTTATCTGCGGGGTTGTACGTTTCTTACATTGACATCTGTAAAAGGGCCAACAAAAGTAACTCACCCTAGTAATGGTGGGTGTGAAGTCTGGTTACTTTGTGACTGGTAAAGCTCAGTAGTAGTCACTATGATTAGTTTGTAACTGTCCAGATCCTTAACCAAACTGTTAGCTGCATTAGCCGCCCTCAGTCTGGGCATTAATATCTCTGGACAGGCTGAGGACCAAACTCCCTTCTTTTCCCAGGAATGACAACAGTAACTCCATTTCCCACGGGGGCAGGGGGTAGTGGGCAGTTTGGAGAATTCATGTGACCTAGGGCTGGGGGCTCATTAGGGGAGTAGAAGTTGTTCATTGGAACCTTGTGGGTGGGAGAGGCCACATGAGCTGCTCAGTCAGAAGCAGAGCTGTAGCTAAAAGCCAGTCTTCTTATTTCCTCCCAGCATACCCTATTCTCAACATTATTGATCATAACAGCCCCCATTTATTGAAATCCCACCAGCTGCAGGCCCAGGGACTAACGTATCCCTAGTCCTCACAATTCTATAAGGTGAGCTCACAGCAATCAAGTAATTTGCTCAAGTTTGTATTAAAGGTGCTAATTCCTGAGATTGGCTTAGGGTAGGGCTGCCCGATTACCAGATTTTTTTTTTCTTTTGCACAACTATAGTTAACATTATTAGTTGTTTAGCTGAAATTTAAGTTTAACCAGACAGAATTTAACTGGGCATCCCGTGTTGTTATTTGCTAAATCTGGCAACCATAGCGTGGAAGTACCCGGCAAAATAAAAACCGGTTTCCTCCCTGTCCTGCCCTGTGTCTTTATCGGGTTTAGTTTTCTCTCTAGGAGCCAGGAGGCTCAGCCTTCAGGCCTCCCTGCGACCTATTCAGGAAGCGGAGGGTGGAGGAGGGTGAGGCTCTGCCCTTTACCAACTTGTCTGCCAACGCGCGTCACCAGGACCTTCCGCCCCGAACAGACATGGCCGCGCTCCGCCGGTGCGGATTGGCTGCAGCCCACAGCCCCGCCTCCCCGGCGCCGGGGGCCTCGTCCATTGGGCGGTTATAAAAGATGGCGGCGCCGCCCCGCCTCCCGCTCGCGCCGCGCTCCCGGCGCGGGGGCGGGGCCACAGCGCGACCGGGGCGGCCAGGCCTTCGCTGATTGGCGGAGAGCGGTGGCTGTGGCCGGAGAGAGGGGGCGTTGTTTGCGGAAGTAAAGGAAGTGGAAGTGCTGAGTAAGCCGAGGTGAGTGACGGGTCAGGAGAGGCGGGGCCTGGGGGTGCCCCCCCAAACCTCGTCAGCGCCCCAGACTTCGTGGTCCTTCCCTCGCACCTTCCCTGTATTCCCTGAGGCATGTTCTCCATTAACCCTGTGTGACACCCGAGTACCCCCCCCCCCAGATTCCTCTCTTTGACCTCAGCCTCCTCAACTCCCATCCCGTGACCTCTCTTGTCTCCCAGGAACCCTCCAGCTCTGACCCTGGGTCCCCATCGGGACCTCAGCCTGCCCGTGTGTCTTCTTCCCTCTGTCCCTAACTTCCTGAGTCAACCCCTCCTCCCTTCCCCATCTCTCAGGGCCCCCCCGCTTTCACTCTGGCCTCACTGATTAACCCCCGCTTTTTCCTAAGCGCTCCCAGAGTTTTCTGCCTCTGTGTATTCCCATTTCCTCCCTGCTTCACCCCCATTTGTGTCCCTGCCTGCTCCCCTACCCATGCTCCCTCCTTCCCTACAGCCTGCCTCCTCACCCCAGAGTCTCCCAGCCCCCTAAGCTTCTGTCCACCTCCTGCTCCCACAGATGACCTGGAAGCTGGTGACAGGGCGCATGTGGCCCATGTGACCGTGTGACTGGGACAGGCAAGCCGTGGGCGTGGGAGAGGGAGGAGGGCATGGGGCTCAGGGATTTTTTTTTTTTTTTAATAGACTATCAAACAAATACCTTCCCTTCCCCCTGCGCTTCTGGATCTTTCCCTCACCTGCCTCTTACCCGCCCAACAGGATGTGAGGCAGGTTTGGTTTGGCAACACATATGCCCCACCCTTGGGCTGAAGGCAGTGTTTTTGTTACTGTCTTGGCCTCGGAATGTTACTGGAGTTTGGAGGCTGTTTTTCACCCGAGTCTCAGTTTCCTCATCTGTGGCGTGTGTGTGTGTGTGTGTGTGTGTGTGTGTGTGTGTGTGTGTGTTTGTGTTTCCTGCCCTCAGAAGGCTTCTGTGAGGTTCACACTGTGAGATAATGTAGAAAAGCAAAGCTCTGAGATCATATGAATCCTGTACAAATGCATGCTTTTGCTCTTTTGTCATAGACGAGGAAGGAAACACAAGTAAAAGGTAACATTGTCTTTTATAGAGTATTTGGCAGTATTTATTGATCATGCTCTATGAGTTAGGCTCACTTCTATGTTAACCTTACCATTCATTCATTCCTCATTTAAAATATATATATTCTGTTGATTTTTTTACAGGGAGGAAGAGGGAGGGATAGAGAGTTAGAAACTTGATGAGAAATAAACATTGATCAGCTGCCTCCTGCACACCCCCCACTGGGGATGGGGCCACAACCAAGGTACATGCGCCTGATGGGAATCAAACCTGGGACCCTTCAGAGGCCAACGCTCTCTCCACTGAGCCAAACCAGTCAGGGCTCATTCCTCCTTTAACAGATATTAATGGACTGTTTACTGAGTCCTAGGCTACCCTTGATGTAGCCCGTGCTATTCCCCTTTAACATAAGGAAAGCGGGCAGGTAAGTTGCCAGAGAGCACACACATTCAATTGGGACTGGAATCTGAATACAGGACCAGAGCCCGTGTGAGTGCCCCGCTGGGTACGGTCCTTGCTGCTGTCCGGGTGCCCAGGGCACTGTTCCTCCTCCTCCTTAGATGACAGCATCCTCAAAAGGGGATTTCCTGCTCACTCAGCAGAATGACATGAGCAAGAGGAAGGAGTTGAAATTGTGTGTGTGTGTGTGTGTGTGTGTGTATGTACGCGTGTGCTCACACATTGCTCTAGTGAAGGAGCACCTAGTCAGCATTTAAACCTTTGATTGTGTTTTGCCTATTTATCTTCTTTCCGGTTTATAGCCCTCTAACATGTAAGTTCTAGGAGGGCAGGGATTTTGTTTTGTTCATTCATGTATTCTCAGCAGTTAGAACTATGCCTGCCTGTAATAGGTCTTCAATAAATCCCTGTAGAGTGAGTCATCAGTGGGCCAGGCCATCAGCCCAGGATCTCTGAGGGACTGGTGTCTCCGGCGGCTCCAGCAGCACTCCCGGGCAGCTCGCTCGCAGGCATGGTCCAGCTGAGCCGAGTGAGTGGGAGAGACCTTTTCCTTTTCTGAAAGAGCCTTTTGCTCTGACTCACATGAATGGCAGTGTGTTTGTAAGACGGGGCCTCAGCTTTTGGGTACAAGAGTCTGAAAGGCAGGCCTGACAGCCACCGCCCATTGAGGCCTGCTCCCGAGTCCCAGTCTGAGGCTTAGGAGCCGGGCCTCGGGGTTCCAACAATTTCGGTTAAGATCTGGCAACTTACATACCCTCCTGTGCCGCAGTGTCCTGGGTGTAATATGACAGAGTGTGCTTTCTTTTATGAGTGTCTTGAGGATGAAATATGATAATTACCTAAAAGATGTGGTGAGGACCTAGCCGGCTTGGCTCAGTGGATAGAGCATCAGCCTGCAGACTAAGGGGTCACTAATTCCTGCCAAGGGCACAGGCCTGGGTTGTGGGCTTGATCCCCAGTTTGGGGGGGGGGGGCAAGGGGCAGCCGATCAATGATTCTTTCTCATCATTGATGTTTCTATCTCTCCTTCTCCCTTCCTCTCTGAAATCAATAAAGATATACATTTAAAAATAAATAAAAAATAAAATATGTGGGGAGCCCCCTGGTATTCAGGGTGCTGGGTGAGCGTAGCAGCGGTGTTGGGGTGTACGTGATGGGAGCGAGCTCTCCCCCATTCGTCACTGGCTTAGGCAAGAGGGACGAGCTGGGGTCAGGGTGAGCGTTAGGAGGGACATTCTGTCTTGGAGGCAGCCTCGGAGGCCCAGAGGCTCAGATGGGAGGTGGAGATGGCATTTGGCTTGACCCCCACTTTCATCTAGTCTTTCCTCACGCACCAGTTGAGTGCCTACTATGCGCAGGCCCTCCGCCTAGAGCTGTTCAGGAGTCTAAGGAAGAAGGCACGAGTCTGCAGGCAGCACCCCCCCTCTCCTCTCCCTGGACAACGGCTCCCGTATTCCCCCAATTGCACTTCCCTCTTGAACGGCATCGTGAGCCTCAGGCAGCCAGCAGAAAGAATCCCCTTCCTGCCGAAGCATGTGCTGTGGGGGATGCGCTCGCGTGCCGAGGCGCAGGGAGGCCGCAGCGGCCTGGGGCCGGTGCTCGGACCAGACCCCGTGTTCTCAGCCCGTCCTGCCAGGCAGTGGGCGGGGGGAGCCATCGGCTGCACAGGAGGGTGTCGCTGTCCCGTGGCCTCGCTCCGATCATGGGACATCCTGTCGTAAGCGGTGGCTCCGGAGGCCTGGTTTCCAGCTGGAGCAGTTCTGCGTGTGTCCCAGGGTCCCCACGTGGCCAGTCCCGTGAGGGCAGCTTCCTGGCCTGGCTGCCTGAGGATCCTGTTACGCACCTCCCAGCGGCCGGCCTGCCCTCTGGCCAGCTTCTTCAAGGAGGAGGCAGAGGCTGGGAGAGTTTCCCCCTCGAATGTGAGCTCAGCTGGTGTCCATAGAGCTGAGCTTTCCAGACCCAAGGGCAGTGTCACTCCTGGGGCCCAGCAGGAGCCCGTCAAGGTTTCCCTGGCGCAGGGCAGGGTCGAGCGCCCCTGAGCTTTTCTTGGCGGTGCTGCAGCCCTGAGCGAGTGGGGACCAGGGTGTGTGTTCTGTTACCGCCTCAGAGGTGCGGCCTGTGGACTTCAGCTGGCTCATCCACTGGCGGAAATTGGGGGCATTCCAGGAGGGACGGCCAGGAGGTGTCCCTTCACTCTGGGAGAGCTATTCCACCGCCAGCTCCCCACCCTCTGCCACACCGATGGAGCCCCCTTCGCAGGTGGCATGGCCGGTGCCGGACAAATGGCGCCATGGTGACCAGTACCCATGCTGACAGCAGCCGAGTCGTAGCCCCTCCTCTGTGCCACCTGGACTAGTGTCGATGGTCTTCCAGTGGCTCCAGTCCCCAGGCTTTCCCCACCCTCTCTGGGCTCCGTCTGCTGGGAGGACCTCTACCCCGTCCCCACCTTCAAGGTGCAGCTCAGCAGTCACCTCCTCTAGCCATCCTTCCCGACACTGTCCCCGCGAGGGACTGTGTACTTGTTTAGACAGGGACTGGGCATGGGTTCCCCCCTTTCTGAGCCCCTTCCAGGAAGTTCACCCCAGGTTCTACCTGTTGGTTCCAGTCGCTCCGATCCCAGGGAGGGCTTTTTGATTGTTTTTCTGGTGGACATCAACATGTGCTTCTTCAATTGCTCTTTGAACACCCAGTGTAAGGCCTCTCGGGGCCTCAGTTTCTTATCCCAGAAATGGGGATAATATTGCTTGTCCTTCCTGCCTTCCTGCCACGCCCCAGCAGCCACTGTGATTCTTCCGGAAGGACCTGAGCAGGCAGGCTGGGCCTGTTGCCGGGGGCTGGGAGGCAACACCAAGAACAGACCAAGCAGCCAGCCACACTCCGGGGACACAAAACCCCCACCTGGCGGCTGCCTGGAGCAGAGTCAGAACTGTTGCCATCACTGTCACCACGTACGTACGTACGTAGCTCTTGTTTGTGCCATACCCTCGTGGCGTGTGGGGGCTGCTTACAGCAGCTTCAGGTGCCCCGCAGGGTACGGCCCTGCCAGGTGACCTGGCCCCACCCAGGTGCAGAGAGCAAGCCCACGTGAGGATGAGAACAGTTGTCAGCAAGTGAAAGCAAACGGTGACACCATGGGGAGGTCAAAGGGCAAGCAGCTGTGAGGGCGAGGGGAAGAGAGGGGTGATCAGGGTGCAGGGGAGCGGTGGCTGGGAGGGAGGGACCTAACAGGTCGGGACCGGCAGCCGGCTCCCCGGCCCAGCGTCCTCCTCCCGCAGCTGCGCTGGAAAATCCCCTGATCTGAGGTCAGAGGCGCTGGGGGCGGAGGGGGCGGGGGGGGGTGACAGGGACGCGCTGAGCCGGGACAGCCATGCGCTGTCCATGCCACACTTGCCACTTTCCCTGTTGGCCTGTCATGATTGTTCCAGGATGTGGCGCGTGGTTTTCATTTCCTCTCTCCCACCTCGTGATAACAACGGCCCCTGTTTGTGTGCCCGGGTGTCCTGGCCGCTGTCCCCGCGTTGTGTCACCCCGTCCTCCGGAGGCGGCGGAGCAGGTGTGTCCTTTCAGCTCCGGCTGCTGTCTGTGGGAGGCGCCCTCACGGCGGACCGGAGGGCGTGTCTCCGCCGGGCAGGTGCCTTCCTTCACCAGCCGGACCCCTTACCCTGAGTGGGCTCCCTGCTGATGCCTGGCTCCCCCATTCCCAGGGCACCATTCCCAGGGCAGCCAGCCCCCCAAAGCCTCCTGCTGCCTCTCTAAGCCAGGCCCATCTCCTCCTTTATATATATTTTTTATATATATATATATTTTATTAATTTTTTACAGAGAGGAAAGGAGAAGTATAGAGAGTTAGAAACATCGATGAGAGAGAATCATCGATTAGCTGCCTCTTTCACACCCCCTACTGGGGATGTGCCCACAACCCAGGTACATGCCCTTGACCAGAATCGAACCCGGGACCTTTCAGTCCGCAGGCTGACGCTCTATCCACTGAGCCAAACCGGTTTCGGCTCCCACTCTCTTTTTTAAAATGGAATTTATTGGGGTGACATTGGCTCACAAAACCACACAGGTGTCTATTGTACAGCTCGACAAAGCACACTGCGCTGTGCCCCATCGCCCAAAGCAAAGCTCTTCCAACCGCCTCTGTCCCCCCTTTGCAGCCTCTACCTCCTCCCACCCCTTTCCCTCCGGCTACCGCCACACCTGCTTTCCTTCAAAAAACAGAGTAATTTTCCATTCCATTTGGAACATAGGGAAAAGAAAAAAATTGCCCATAAAACCTATACTCTTATCTACCTAGTATTTTGGTATGTTTTCTGTCAGTCTATTTCTCTCTTTCTGCTGTGCATAATTTTTGCTCCATTAAATTATGTAAATTATGTTATAACAGACGTCCTGTGAGCCAAGCTCAGCGCCCGGGGTGAGTGTACAGAGGGGTAGCGCCTGCCTTTGGGAGCCCAGACTCCAGAGCCCGCCCATCTAGCTGTGTGACCTTGGGTGTGTCACTTTACCTCTCTGTTCTGTCATTTCCTCAGGTGTGGAATGAGGACTACAGTGGTAACAACTGTGTAGTGGGGGTGCGGACAGGATGGCTAATAGGTGTAAGCTCTTGGCACTGGCCCTCGGCAAGGCCCGGAGTGCCCGGTGTGAGTAGTCGTAGGAATTGTGCAGGAGGATCAAAGGCGAGGGAGGACATTTCAGATAGGCAGGTCAACGCAGACAGGCAAGGAGGTGTGAAACAGCATTGCCTGCTGGAATCCTGCGTGGTGCGGAGCTGACAGGGTGGTGCTGCAGGGGAGAGGCTGCAGGGGTGGGGGCGGAGGGGCGGGGGAGGTGCAGGGGTTCTGCAGGCCGTGCTTGTGGCCGGTGAACAGCACGGCGCGCAGTGGACTCGAAGCCGCTGAGCCGGCCACAGAAGGCCACGTGCTTGTCCCGCTGTCGGCGAGGCTGGGATTTGAAGGCACTTTTGCTCCAGAGCTGAGCTGTGTGCTCAGGGCACCTGCCTCCTATGGTTTTGTGAGAATGACACGAGACAGGGACGTGACGTGTTTAGCTCCGGGCCTGCTACCTAGTAAGTGCTCAATAAACGCCTCTGATATAATTTTTATTGGCACGTATTCTCTGTTTAATTAAACGGGCCTTTTGTTGTTCCTGTTGTCCCTACAGTTGATTTTCTCCTCAACACACAGCCAGCGTGTGACTGGTGTCCACTGAAGTGTCCACTCGCCTGCCCACGCTCCACCCTCTGTCCTTGGGTCTGACACACCCTTATGGGACAGGGCGGCCTCTGGCTGACGGTCATCTAGCTTTGGTGACACTCACTCAGGAAGGCAGTGTGCTTTCTGGAACCCAGGAAATGACAAGACATCTGAGTCTGTCATCCATGCCCGGCTGGTGTGGCTCAGTGGTTGAGCGTCAGTCTATGAACCAGGAGGTCAGGGTTCAAACCCCGGTCAGGGCACATGCCTGGGTTATGGGCTCGATCCCCTGTGGGGGGCATGCAGGAGGCAGCCGATCAATGATTCTCTCATCATTGATGTCTCCATCTCTCTCCCTCTTTCCCTTCTTCTCTGAAATTATCAATAATACAAATATTTTTTTAAAAAAATACAATCATTTTGGCCAAAACTGGTTTGGCTCAGTGGATAGAGTGTTGTCCTGCAGACTGAAAGGTCCCGGGTTCGATTCTGGTCAAGGGCATGTACCTTGGTTGCGGGCAGGTCCCCAGTAGGGGGTGTGCAAGAGGCAGCTGATCTATGTTTCTCTCTCATCGATGTTTCTGACTCTCTCTCCCTCTCTTCCTCTCTGTGAAAAATCAATAAAACATATTTTAAAAAGATAAATACATAAAATAAAAAATATAATCATTCTATCATCCAAACAGGAAATCTAATAGCAGAAACTGTGACCCCATGAACATGAAACGTAAAACGTCCACCCAAATCGGTGGTCACTTTTTCTGAGCCGGTTCATTCCTCTTCATTTCCGGGAACGTGGTTTTGTGTATCCTCCGAGCGCCTTGGGAAGCAGGGTGGCAGGTGTTCACGGTGTCAGACAAGGACTTACCGATCCCTCCCCCGAGAGTGTGAGTCCCCGTCCCTGTGGTTCTGGTAGAGAGGGGTTTGTGGAATTGGGAGGACCCTGCCACGCTCTTTGATACCAAAAAGTTGACTCTCCCCCTCCCCCACGTAAGGAGAGCCGCCCCATTGGCCCAGGGCAGGGCCGCCACGTGTGCATTCCTTTGCTCAGCACGGCTCCATGCCACAGATGAGCAAACTGAGTCTCTGCTGGGACCCTGGGTCCGTCGCCTGTGCCGGGGGCAGCTCTGTCACTCCCACAGGCCTCTTCCCTCCCACCCAGTGCCATTCTCTCTCCCTTCCTCGTCAGCTCCCTCTGGGCCCAGAATCAGGGGGCCACGCTGGTGGGGAGCCGCCTGGGCCCCTGGGCAGGAAACTGCTGTCCTTGGTGCGGCGGGCCTGGGGGCCTGGGGGCCTGAGCCCCGCGCCCCGCTAACCAGAGACCCCGTTTTCTTCCAGACGGAGGGGAAGGCAGCAGGGCCCCCCCACCGGCCCCGCAGAAGATGCAGTTCTTTGGCCGCCTGGTCAACACCCTCAGCAGCGTCACCAGCTTGTTCTCTAACCCGTTCCGGGTGAAGGAGGTGTCTCTGGCTGACTACGCCTCGAGCGGCCGGATCCGGGAGGAAGGGCAGCTGATTCTGTTCCACAGCGTTCCCGGCCGCACCTGGGACTGCGTCCTGGTCAACCCCAGGCACTTGCAGAGCGCCTTCCGGTGGGTGCCGCTCCGCTTGACACGCACGTCTTTCCTTTGGCTCCCCAGTCCCTGGCTTCGGTCTACATCTGAGGGGTCCGGAGAGGGCCGGAGAGGGAACCCCTCTTCCGAGGACGGAGGGGCTTCCTACACTCCCCCCTTTGGCCCACCAGGGTCCCTGGAGCAGGGGCATGGGGGCGGAGACTCGGCTGATTCCTGCCGGGGGGCTGACCCATGCAGACAGAGAGGCTAAGGCCCAGGGGGCACCCGCAGCCCTGGTCTTTAAGGGCATGACAGTCTCAGGGGCTGGCCTCGTCCTGTTCAGGGAGCCTGTAAGAGGCAGATAGCTGTCACTCCTCAGGGCACACTGGGTCGGCCATGGGCTGGAAGGGAGGGGTCAGAGCCAGCGAGAGGAGTGGCCAAGGGCCTAAAATGGAGCGTGGGATCCTGCAGGCTGGCACTGAGTTGGCTCATACCAACAGCCCCCTTTCTGTTTGTTTATTCCTCTCGCCACCCCGTCCTCCGTCCATCCAGCCACCATGCTCCGAGCACCTCGTGTCTCTGGAGATGACAAAACGCGCTCTGGGCTTTCAAGGAGCGCGCCGTCCTTGGGGGAGGCCACCTGCAGACCAGGCAATGCTACGTGAGGGGCCAGGGAACGGGGACACAAGAGGCGCCACTTCCTGGTGGCTCCTCTGAGTGGGAGAGCAGATGATAGGTTGTTCCAGATGGAGGCACAGAGGGGGGACCTGCCGGACCCAGGGCCTTGGTGAGAAGGGAACCGCGGGTCATTCTCAGTAAGCAGGCGTGGCAGCAAGAGGCTCAGGAAGTGGCAGCTGGGGGGGGTGTGTGTGTCTGTGTGTGTGTCAAGGTCCAGCCACCAGAAGAGCAAAATAAGATATCGGCCCCAGCCAATCAGGTGAGAATTCAGGGCCTGGCTCCCACGGGGAAACAGAGGCAGAGGCACCCTAGTGGGCGGGTGGGCAAGAATACAGCTCAGTGGCCAGTCCAGACATAGTTTAAACAAAGCAGCACTAGTCGGAGCTCTGGCTGCCCTCCCCCAGGCCTGCAGCTGACCAGGGCAGTGGGTCCACTCTTTGGAGGGCCACTCATCCATATTTTATTTTTTTATCCTCACCCGAGGATATGTTGCTATTGATTTTAGTCAGAGAGAGACGACAATGTGAGAGAAACACTGATCTGTTGCCTCCCATACGCGCCCTGATCAGGAGTCGAACTCGCAACCTTTTGGTGATGGGATGACACTCCCAACCAACTGAGCCACCGGGCCAGGGCCATCCTTGCTTTCGGGGTGCCCTGCCCCGGGGGCCCACACCCTCCACGCGCAAATCATCACCGAGTCCTGTGAGTTGTAAGTATCCATTGGCCGGATCCCAGCTTTGCCTTGGGAAGCTTGAGCCCCGTCCGGGGCATTAGCACATCCTCCAGCGACCCGGGGAGGCAGCGAGGAGGCAGCGGCTCCTGTGTGGGTGAGAAAACCGAGGTGCGGGAAGGAGCAGGGATGCTCCCGGTTGTGCAGGAAGCAGCGAAGAAGCCGAATCTTTGCATCATCCGGTTCCGAATCCGTTTCTCTTTGTGTGCGGTGTTTCCACGTGTTCAGGCTGCACAGAGAGCAGTGGTGGGTGGGGTTTCAAGCTAAGTTCATAGCTCCTCTTGGAATTCCTGACATTCCTCACTTGGCTCTGGCGTCTGTTTTTGTTCTCCTCTCTAACCTGCTCCCATCCAAGCATTTCCGTGTCAGCAAAGGGCACCACCATCATCGACATGGTTGTGCAATCCAGACACCCAGGCGTGATCCCGATTTCTCCCTCCCCTCCCCCCAGCCTCAGATCTGGGTCCTTAACAAATTCTGTTGGATTTCCTCCCATGTTTACCCTGAATCTGCTTCTCTGTCAGTTACACTCAGGTCGGCCGTGAGTGACAGGTACCACACCCAACGTGGGAGTGGGGAAACAGGACAGAATTTCCGTTTTCTCCTAAGTGACAGCCATGGCAGAAAAGGCTGCTCCTCAAAGCCCTCAGCAGCCCAGGCTCCTTCCGTCTTGTTGCTCCACCACGTGTGCTTCTATTCTCTAGATCAGATGGCCACGTTAGGTCAGCTGTCACAGCCGCCCTTCCAGCCAGCAGGAAGGCGGAAGGGCCCTCTGTTTAGGAACGCTTCTTGGAAAGTTGCACACATGCCTTCCACCTAAATGCCTTTGGCCAGGAATTAGTCCCGAGGAGGCTGCATTCCAGTCCCATTCTGATCCAGAATCAGGGTCCTGTTACTCTCCATTTTGCTGCTGGTCTCTTTGCAGGCCATGGTGGTTGTGTACCTGGACTCCCTGCTCCCTGCCTCCTGGGATGTTATATATATATTTATTGGTTTCAGAGAGGAAGGGAAAGGGAGACAGATACATTGCCATACAAATGTGCTTTAAAGAACCTCTTTCTCGACTCTGCTCTCCGCACAGCCACTTCCTGTACATACTTATGAGACGTACTGTCCCATAATTTTCCTTTTAAGAAATATTCTAATCAGTTTTTGGTGTCAGCTTTATGCTAGACTTATAAAAAGAGTTGATATGCCGAAACCGGTTTGGCTCAGTGGATAGAGCGTCAGCCTGAGGACTGAAAGGTCCCGGGTTCGATTCCGGTCAGGGGAATGTACCTTGGTTGCAGGCACATCCCCGGTGGGGCGTATGCAGGAGGCAGCTGATAGATGATTCTCTCTCATTGATGTTTCTAACTCTCTATCCCTCTCTCTTCCTCTCTGTAAAAAAATCAATAATATATATATATATATTAAAATTGATAAGTAATCCTTCCATTTTCTGAAAATTGTTTAAGACTGATATTTCTTTTTTTTAATGTCTGGAAGAATTCATGAGTGAAGCCATATGAGCTTGGAGTTTTTGTGGGAAGTTTTTAAAATACAGTATGTATTCAGTTTTTGTTTTGTTTTTTTTGTATATTTTTATTGATTTCAGAGAGGAAGGGAGAGGGAGAGAGAGATTGAAACATCAGTGATGAGAGAGAATCATCCATTAGCTGCCTCTTGCATACCCCCTGCTGGGAGTGAGCCCACAGTCTGTGCCCTTCACCAGAATCGAACCTGGGACCCTCCTGTCCTCAGGCTCCTCAGGCTGACACTCTATCCACTTAAGCCAAAATGGCTAGGATTGGATCGATTTCTTTAGCAGATATAGGACTACCAGATTTTCTCTTTCTTCTAGTGTCAGTTTTGCTATGCTGTGTTTTCAAGAAATTTGCCCACTTTAAGTAATCAAATTCATTGGCATAAAGTCGTTCATAATATCCTGTTTTCTTTTTAATATCTGAAGGCTCTGAAGAGATGGTATTTTGTATTTTCTCTATTTCTTGATCAGATTTGTTAGGGATATGTTGCTTTTTAAAAAATATTTTTTAATTGATTTCAGAGAGGAAGGGAGAGGGAAAGAGAAACAGGAATATCAACGATGAGAGAACCACTGGTTGGCCGCCTCCTGCACGTGCCACACTGGGGATTGAGGCTGCAACCTGGGCGTGTGCTCTGACCAGGAATCGAACCGTGACCTCCTGGTTTAAGGCCGATGCCCAACCACTGAGCCACACTGGCTGGGCTAGTTTTATCTTTTAATCATGCAGCGCTTGAGTCTGACTTTTTCCCCCACTCACCAAAATGCTTTTGCAATTCATGCTTGTTTTCTAACTATTCCATTTCCCCTCTCTGTTAGCTTGGGAGTTATACACTCTGTTATCTCTTTGTGATAACTGTTAAGAGACAGTTCTCTGTGGGTGTCTTGTGTTTCTGCACACCTTGTGAACAGAGACGCTGGCTACCTCTGCTCGGGCTGTCTGTACAGGGATGTCTGCAGGGAACAGCCTGGAAGGCAGAGAGAGAGTCTCTCTCCAGAGCAGGGGGCCGCTTGCCTGCTCTCCTGTGCTATAAAGACAGTATCTTCCTCCAGGGCAAAGCTTAAACAGATTTGCTTATTGACAATGACAGAAGATTCAAGTTCCCTGCACTCAGGGTTTCTCTCCTCTGATGCAACATGAGCAGATGTCACCTGACCCTCTTCATGTCACCTTGTGGGAACTGGATCCCAGGGAATTGGCACAAATGCCGATACTCTGGCTGCTGCTGTTGCTGTGAGTAATAAACTGCCCTTTGTCTTTGATCCAGGAATCTTGTGTCTCCTGCCAGCATCCATGAAACTGTGTCAGGCTAACTTGTTAGTTTGCAACTAGGGCAAAATCTGAAACCTTCCACAGTTCTTGATAGAGAGAGCCCTAGAGATTGTAACACACATCCTTGGGCTTACTGAAGTATAATTGGTACTCTATTATAGAATCTTCCAGAACAATAAACGGGCCTGGGAACCCTTTAACTGCATTTATCCCCCTCCAGGCTTTTATGCCATGTACTTTTAAAAAAATTTTTATTAATATTTTTATTTTAAGTACAATAAGACATTATATTGTCAATATTCATTTAAATTTGCCTATAAATATACCATTTTCAGTTTTTTCAGCATCTTTATTGTTTTTTAAATATATATATATATTTTATTGATTTTTTACAGAGAGAAAGATAGTCAGAAACATCAATGAGAGAGAAACATCAATCAGCTGCCTCTTGCACACCCCCTATTGGGGATGTGCCCGCAACCAAAGTACATGCCCTTGACTGGAATCAAACCCGGGACCTTTTAGTCTGCAGGCTGACGCTCTATCCACTGATCCAAACTGGTTTCGGCAGCATCTTTATTGTTGATCATTCACCTGGGATAAGGTTCCTTCTACTTCATGAAAATAATTTTATATTTTCTTTTGTGTAGGTCTGCTAATGACACTTCTCTCTGACTAGTGAAATGTTTTTGTTTTTTTGGTGTTTTTAAAAATATTTTTTTTTATTTCAGAGAGGAAGGGAGAATGGGAAAGAGATAGAAACAATGATGAGAATCACTGATTGGCTGCCTCCTGCACACCTCACACTGGGGATTGAGCCCACTACCTGGGCCTGTGCCATGACAGGGAATTGAACTGTGACCTCCTGGTTCATAGGTCAAAGCTCAAACCCTGAGCCAAGCAAGCCAGGCTGACTAGTGAAATGTTTTAATTTCAACTTCATACTTGTAGGTTCTGTGTTTGTCTGCTTTCTGGCCATAGAATTCTCTTTGGTGTTTATTTTCCTACAGCTCTCTCAGGATGTCGTTCCATTGTCTCCGGCTTCCATTGTTGAGAAGCCAGCGCTCAGTGTACTGGTTGTCCTTTGAAGGTGATCTTCTCCTCTGCTATTTTTAATATTTCCTCTTTGCATTTTGTTTTCAGCAGTTGTAGTGTGGTACATGTGTCAGTTATTGCTATGTTATAGTATGTTCGCCAATGTATGTCATTCTCCGGTATTGCTGTGTAACAAACGACTCCAAAATGTAGTGGTTGAGAACAGTCTCAGTTATTTAGCTCACAAATCTGTCATTTGAGTGGCGCTCAGTGGGAAAGGCTCAGTTCTAGTCTACACAGCACCAGCTGGGGTGGCTTGACTGCGAGACCCACTGTAAAATGACTCACTCACAGTTGGCCAAGCTGGTGCCGGCTGTTGGCTGGGCGCTCATCCTGGCCGAGGGTCCAGGACCTACAATCACCTCCCTGGGTGCTCAGCTTCCCTAGGGCATGATGGCTGGATCCCAAGAGAAAAGAGGTGGAAGCATCCAGTCCCTTAAGGCCTTGGTCTAGAATGAGGACAGTACCACTTCCGCCAAATTCTAGTAGTAAAGAATTACAGAGCTAGATTAAAGAGTAAAGAGACAGATTCCCTCTCAGTGGGACGAGTGTTGAAGAATTTTAAAGGTTCTAAACCTCTACAAAGTCCTTAAGTGTAGACTTCTCTTTCTCCTTCTTCCCCCTCTTCTGCTTTTCTTTTTGGTGGAGGGGGGCGCAGAAGGTATTTTATTTGTTTGGTTTTTAATTTAATAAATCTTTATTGCTCAGATTATTACAATTGTTTCTCCTCCCCCCCCCCCCCCATAGCTCCTTTCCGCAGAAAGTATTTTAAAACAGTGTTTTTCATCAATGTTGGAAAGTTCACAGTTGTTAACTCTTCATATATGGCTTCTGTCCAGTTCTCTCTCTCTTCTGTTTTTGTGGCTCTACTTATAATGTATGTTAGATATGCTCACTATATATATTCTATAGCTTTTATCTACTTTCCTGTATTTTCCCATCTTTTGTCTCCCCATGCTTTATTCTGTTCAGTCTTTCTGACCAATTTCCTATCCACTAATTTTATGTCAGCATTGTCTAATGCTATTATACCTAGCCATTTTCTTCATTTTGACAATTGTATTTTAAAAATTTTGTAATTTCCACTGTTTTTTTTTTTTTTTTAATAGTTTAAAGTTCCTGGCCAAAATTATAAGTCTTCTATTTTATCCTCTTGAATATTGTCCCAGTTGTTTTAAAGTCTGTATCAGATAACTTTAATATCTGCAGCCTTTCGCGTATAGATCTGTTTCTGTTGGTTTTCTTTTCTGTTGTCGTATCTCCTCGGAGGCCTGGCGTGTTCTGATCGGGCCAGACTTTGGATGTGCAACCATGCTTGTAGGAGTGAACTGAAGCCTAGTGTGATTTTCCTTTATGTACCGTGTTTCCCCGAAAATAAGACATCCTCCGAAAATAAGACCTAGCGCATGGAAAGATAAGATATCCCCTGAAAATAAGACCTAGCACAACTTTGGGAGAAAAAATTAATATAAGGCACTGTCTTATTTTTGGGGAAACAGGGTATGTATCTCCCAGGTACCCGGGAGCACGCTCACAGGGGACCGCCTCAGGCCAGTTTCTGGAACAAGTTATTTGAGGCGGAGCCCTTGGGAAGGCTTTCCTAGGGTGAAGGCTTTTAGGACCCCACCCCACAGCAAGAGGTGGTGACCAGGGCTCTGCCTGCAGACCCTGTCCCCGGAGCCTGTGAGACTGTTGATGCTGCCGCCTGTCCCTCCAGCCTCTCGAGTGACAGCAGCCTAGACAGCAGGCTCACATCCTGGTTTCCATGATCCCTGCCCGCCCCGCAGTTCCTCACTGTCTGACTCGGTCTCCGGCGCCTCACGCAGGTGCTTTCTATGTTTTGTCTGGCGTTTCTGGTGGTCCCCAGCCGGTGACCTGGCTCACATTACCTCTGCTGTTAACGGAAGTGGACTCCTCAGAGGGACCCCGTGTTTTTTTGGGTCATCTCTGCCAGCATTGAAAAGCCAGATTACACTTGCCCGTTAGGAGCCTTTAGTTTAAGGTGACCAGACAGGACGGTCCCAATTTTTTAACAATTTGTCCCACATCCCGCTGCATTTTAAAAACATCCCGATTTTTTGAAAAATCGGGACTTTTTAAAAACGCCTCGGAACAAATTGTTAAAAATCGGGACCGTCCCGCCAAAAGTGGGACGACTGGTCACCTTACATTAGTTGCACCCTCTGCGGAAAACCACATTGTCCGTATTTGCTGTCTCCGGCTCCTCACATCCCATTCGTTCCTAAACCCACGCTAATGAGGCTTTGATTCCCACACTCTTGTCAAGGTCACCCGTGCCTCAGCAATGCCAAACCCAGTGACCAATTCCAGTTGTCATTTTACCTGACTCCACGGCAGGATTTGACCCGGGGCACTCCAACAGTGAGAGGTTGGTGAGATGCAGCGAAAACCAGCCACGCAGAATGAGGAGTGGCCTTTCCACATCCCCCTTTCCTACTTTGTTTTTCTATAACACTTAACACACACACACACACACAGTGCTTTCAGAGAGGAAGGGAGGGGGAGAGAGGGATAGAAACATCAATGATGAGAGAATCATTGATTGGCTGCCTCCTGCACACCCCACACTGGGGATCAAGCCTGCAACCCAGGTGTGTGCCCTGACTGGGAATAGAACCAGTGACCTCTTGGTTCATAGGTCAACACTCAACCACTGACCCACACCGGCCAGCTTTTATGGCACTTTTTACCAGACAGTCTGTTTCTCCTTCTTCCTTATTTTGACTTCATCTTGCTCGTTCTGTTGATCTCCCCCAGGAGAATGGGGGCTCCGGCGGGGGGGCTGTGGTCTGTTTTGCTCCTCCATTTGCCCTCCATTTGGGACAGTGTGGAGCAGGTCAGCTGTCAGTAGGTTTTTGCTAAGGACCGCGCTCCCTGGGAAAGGAGCTGGCGCTGCCGAGCCCCCCTCCGGCTCCACCCGCTGGGCCGCTGGCTGCGCTTGTGCGGGTGGGAAGCACCGGTGTGCTCACAGCTCTGGCCAGGCCTCCAAGCCGCCCCCACGGACGGTCATGACTTCAGCTTTTAAAGTGTTTTTACGTTACCGTCCCGGCTGATCCTCACAGCGCCTCGTGAGGTAGGTGGGGCGGTGCAGTTAGTCTCGTTTCAGAGGGCTCAGAGAGAAGCGGACTTGTTTTAGGATGACAGCAGACCTGGGACTCAAACTCTACTCTTGAAAAATGAGCAAAACGTTCCCCAGCTGCAGTGGCTCAGTTGCTTTAGCCTCGGTCACCCTGTGTTCCAAAAGGTCACTGGTTCAGTTCCAGGTCAGGGCACATGCCTGGGCTGTGGGTTTGATCCCCAGCCAGGAGCCTATGGAAAAGAACCGATCCATGTTTCTCTCCGCACCACCCTCCCCCACCCCCCGCCCACCTTCCTCTCTCTAAACATGTCCTCAGGTGACATATTTACATATATTCTTTTTAATGAACAAAACATGTTTCCTGACTGTAAAAATAATTTCAACTCATTGTACAGAAATGGGTAAAGAACATGTAAGTTGTTACGCTGTCACACACATTCTGACATTTCCTTTCAGTCTTCTAAGTACAGTTTCTGTCACGTATCATACAAGATTTGTATTCTGCTTTTAAATTTAACATTGTAAAGCGACTTTTCCCTGTTCTTTAAATATCTGACTTTCACGGCTGCGTAACGTTCCACCACACAGATGTACACAGTTTATACAACATTGTACTGCTGGACATTTGGGTTAAACATGTTGACTTCCCGCTGTGTGGGAGGAGCTGGCATGGAGGCTGGGGCTGCCAGACGTGACAGTCAAATGAGAAAGCGGGTAAAACCAAATCTAAAAGCACCACATGATGGTACTTAAAAAAAGAGAGAGAAGGAAATACTTTCAAATAAAAATGAAGCCCCAACTCCAGTTAGGGGTGTGGGGTGGGGCGGGGAGTCCGGCTGCCGCGGGTCAGGGTGCACCGGGAGGCAGGCAGCATCCTGAGGGTGAGGACCCTCCGCTCCTGATGCCAAGGGGGGTGGGCGGGGGTCCTCCGGCTCATTCTGTCTCCCTCCTGGGTCCTGGCTCCGCAGACTCTTCCAGCTGGAGACGGAGGCCGAGGCCCTGGTGACCTTCCAGCAGTATTCCTCCCTGCTGCCGCCCTTCTACGAGAGCTCGGCCCACATCCTGCAGGTGGACGTGCTGCAGCAGCTGAGCGACCTCATCCGCAGCCACCCCAGCTGGTCCGTGGCCCACCTGGCGGTGGAGCTGGGCATCCGAGAGTGCTTCCATCACAGCCGCATCATCAGGTGGGCGGGCCTGGCCGGGCGGGGCCGCAGGGCTGGACCCTTGGGATGTGTGGCAGGATGGGGCCTTGGAATCTCCATCCTGCCTCAGTTCTCCGTAAGCTCAAAGGTTGCCCAGAACCTTAGACTTAAAGGGGCAGCGTTGCCTCTGGGTTAGAGCCTAGAGGTGCTGGCTGCGGTCAGAGGGAAAACGTGACATTTCTGGAGCATCTACCGGATGCAGGCCCATGAGGCTGCTTTATACCCGCCGTGAACTAGACTTTCCCCAACACCCCCCGAGGCGCTGTCACCCAGGGGGAGGCTGTGTGGCCTGTGCAGGTCGCCCCGCCGGAGGGTGCTGCGGGGGCTACAGGTCCTGGGTGGCTTCTTCCAAGGGCCCCTGACTCACCCGCTCAGCCAGATGTGTGTCCTGGGCACAGTCCTGTCCTGAGGTGGCACACCTCCTTGGCTCAGGGGGCAGGCCTGTCCTAGACCATCATGGTATTTAATCTCGAAAGCTGGGCCATTTCCTAGGGCAGGCTCCTCAGGGATTATTGTTACTTTTTGTAAATAAAGACATTGAAGCCCAGGAGGTTAAGGGAATTGCCCATTGTTAGTGAGAGTTCTGTCTTCTGTGGCCCTTTTCATTTATGCAATTAAATTTTTTAAAATGTTTTCTTTATTTATTGTTGCAAATATTACAGATGTCCCATTTGTTTGTTTGGCTTTTTTTCCCATTAACACCCCCCCCCCCTCTACCCCGCACCCACCCCTCCCTTCATCGCTCTATTGTCTGTGTCCATATATGCATATTAGTGCCCCAGGTAAGCGACCCTTTTTAAAAAAATCTTCACCGGAGGATATGTTTATTAGAGAGAGAGACAGGAGGGGGATGGGGGGCATCTATCTGTTGTCTCCTATACCCACCCCGACTGGGGCATTTTATGTACAGGAGGACTCTGCAACCGACCAGCCACCTGGCCTAGGCCTGCAGCCCTTTCTGTGCCACCCCACTGCCCTCTTCAGGCTGGTGTGGGCTGGGCACATCTATACAGGTGTGCCACTGGCACTGAAAAAGGGTACAAGTCCCATGAGATACAAATAAGTCGTGACTTAGGCTGAACATGGCATGAGTGCTCCTGAGCGCCTAACCCGCTTCCCTCTTCTGCCCTTCGGTTTCTCATGCCCTGCCCATCCCGTGCCATGCCCACTCACCTGCCTGCCCACCCCCACAGCTGCGCCAACAGCACGGAGAGCAAGGAGGGCTGCACGCCGCTGCACCTGGCCTGCCGTAAGGGCAATGCGGAGATCCTGCAGGAGCTGGTGCAGTACTGCCACGCCCAGGTGGACGTCACTGACCACAACGGGGAGACCGCCTTCCACTACGCCGTGCAGGGCAACAGCTCCCAGGTGCTGCAGGTGCGCAGAGGGGCGACACCGCGCCGTGCCCTCGGCTGTCTCTGCGTCCTTGCACGCAGATGTCACTCTGGGCCTCTCCCGGGCCCTCTGTGGTCCTGAAGGCCCGAGCTCCATCCACTCTTCCCTCCTTCGCTTTCGCCTCCTTGCTCTGACAGTCTGGGGAAGTCCTCCAACCCAGCAAGCAGACTCCGCTCGCAGTCCAGCCCGGGGTTTAGTTCAGCACCCCCGGAGAGCCGGACCCCTACGGGAGGGAGGCACCCGAGGTCCCGGGGGACCTGAACGTAACTTTCGTTGTTAACTTTCATTGTTAAGTTAACTTTCGTTAACACCCGAGGATATATTTTCCATTGATTTTTAAAGAGAGTGGAAGGGAGGGATGGGGAGAGAAAGAAATATCGTGTGAGAGAGAAACATTAATTGGTTGCCTTCTGCGTGTGCCCTTACCGGGGCTGGGGATTGAGCCAGCAACGCAGGTACGTGCCCTTGCCCGGAACTGAACCCAAGACCCTGCCCTGTTTAGGCTGCCTCTCTGACCACTGGGCATGCCCACTAAGGCCCGAGCTTAACTTTTTACAGGAATTCAAAACACACACAACGAAATTCCATCGGGCTCCGCCAGGCAGTTGCGCCAGAGACGTTCCCGTTGAATTTTCCATGAGCTGGGCAGAGAGATAAAAATAAAAATTCTGCGCGAGTAGATCCAGTGACGTAATTAGGAGGCTACTTCAACTCTAAGGCAGAAAAGACAGACTCCTGGGCACTTCTTTATTGCCTAGGATTGGGAGATTCTTCTGAAGGTGATATCCTTGTCTCTGCCTTGGCATCAGAATGGAACTACATTACTCCAGAGTCCAGAACATGCGGATCCATCCCTGATGACTGGTGCTCTCGGGGGAGGGGATCGCACACCTGTGACATCCACCCTGACCAGAACCGCTGTGTGCCCAGCTCGGGCCTCACCTGTCCTGCCTCGGGGCAGGGCAGGGCACTCTGACCAACTGTCACGCGCAGCTGCACCTGTCCTTTAGGTGTGCTAGTCTGCCGCCTGCCCTGTGCTGGGTGTTGTGTGTGTTCTGGCGAATTCTCAGAACACCCTCTGTGCGGGAGGGTCATGCCCTCCTCTCCCTGCTAAAGAAACAGACTCAGTGACTTTCATGTTTGCCCAGGGAGGGCCCCTGGGCTGTGAGTGGCGGGGCTGGCCCTCTAGTCGGGCCACCCTGCCACGTCCCCAGGCTGCTGGTGTGCCCGGCTGGTCATCCGGGCACCCAGGATCGTAATTATCCTCAGGGGACAGCATTCAGCCCCAGGAGGAAGTAAAAGCCTCCCCGTGTGCCTTTTAATACTGATATTTGTTTAAATATATTTTTATTGGTATCAGAGAGGAAGGGGGAGGGAGAGAAACATCCATGATGAGAGAGAATCATGGATCGGCTGCCTCCTGCAGGCCCTCCACTGGGGATCGAGCCCACAACCCGGGCGTGTGCCCCTGACCGGAATCAAACTTAGGATCTTTCAGTCTGCAGGCTGACGCTATATCCACTGAGCCAAACTGGCTTGGGCCTGATATTTTTTAGAATATTTTTTTATTGATTTCAGAGAAAAGGGAGAGGGGCAGAGAGAGAAAAACATCATTGATGAAAGAGAAACATTGATGGGCTGCTTCCTCACACCGATCTCTCTGGCCTGTGCCTCAGCCAGGAATGGAACTGTGACCTCCTGGTTCATAGGTTGACACTCAACCACTGAGCCACACAAGCCGGACAACACTTTTTTTTTTAAATTGAAAAATATCCGCACACAGCAAAAAAAAAAAAAAAAAATTCAAACAGGACAGAAAAGCTAGAGACGCTGCCCCTCCCAGACCCCAGTGCCCCTCCCTCGGTGTGACCACGTTTTCAGCGTCTTTATTCGGAAGTTGGCATCCATGCCACAGGCATGCCAGGCCCGCACCCCAGGTTCAGTCAGCTCCCGTTCCCCTCCGAGGCCTCCCTCTCTGCTGCTTCTCTGCGTCCTTCGGCGTGTGCTCCGAAGTCCAGCCTCCCTCGCCCTCGTCCCCGGGGAGCGGCGGGGCCGGGGAAGGACCGCAGGGGCTCCTCCGCACCAGGCTGCAGCCCACGCCGCTCTGCCCGCAGCTCCTGGGGAAGAGTGCGTCGGCCGGCCTGAACCAGGTGAACAAACAGGGGCTCACCCCGCTGCACCTGGCCTGCCAGATGGGCAAGCCGGAGATGGTCCACGTGCTGCTGCTGTGCAACGCGCGCTGCAACGTCATGGGGCCCCGCGGCTACCCCATCCACACGGCCATGAAGTTCTCCCAGAAGGGGTAGGTTCTCCCTCCCCCCTCCCCCATCCCGCCCAATCCCACCCCCGCCTCACGGGGCTGGGCCTCACCTCCCTCCTGAGACTCTGGCCCCCAGGGCTGGCCTGGCACAAGCCAATGTGTAGGCTGTGAATCTCAGCTCACAATGTGTAGGCTGTGAATCTCAGCTCACTGTGCAAAGAATATAACGTCAGTCTGCCCTGTAGTGTACTCTAATGTCTGACCGTGACCCTCCCTTTGCCAAACTAGAGATCTTTTCTGGGGGTCCCCTTTCCAGCTTCCCCAGGGGTGGTCCAGTGCTAGAATCTCATGCGGCCCCAAGGCTCGGAGGGGCCCCCGGCCTGGGTCCTCATCCCCCCAAGCTGACCGGCCTGACCTGAACCCATCATGCTGCGGTGCTCATGGCTTCTGGGGCCGACTCAAGGCCCAGGCATGGCGGTCAGGGCGGCCCAGGGCCCCTCTGCCTAGAAGCAGTCGTCCCTCTGGTGGGTGGCACAGTGGCGTCACAGGTCCAGCCCGTGTCTCCGGGAGCTCTAGAACATTCTCATTTCTTCCCTCCTCCCGACCTGGGAACCCTGGGCTCAGGAAATTCTTCTCATGTGGGGGTTGTGTGTGTGGGGGTGTGAGTGTGTGTGGAGGGGGTGAGGCGGGGCATGGATAAAAGAGATGACTATCTCAAAGTATTCCCTAGCATGTACAGTACCTAGAATGAATGAATGAATGAATGAATGAATGAGTCGGTCAGTCCCTCAGACCCAGGCGCCAAGCAGGACTGTGCCCTACAAAGGTGGGTAAGAGAACAGCCCGAGGACAGGAGACAGAAGTCACCAAGACCTCCCAGTGCTGAGTGCCAGGCAGGCAGCGGGAAAAGGGCGCATGGCAGGCCACGCTCAGGCTGGGGGGGCAGTCAGTGCAGGAGACTACAGCGGGTGTTAGAGGTGGGGCGGGGAGGGGGCTGTGTGCCAGGCACAGAGCCAGGTGCTGGGATATCCTGTCTCCTCTCACTCCTGCCCAGTCCTGTAAGCACGGTTTCTGTGTGGTCTCCTTCCAGGGGTCACCAGTGAGGAAGCTGGGGCTTGTCCTAATGCCAACACCAGGGAGAGTGATCATGGCTGATTGGAGTTATCAGGGAAGGCTTCCTGGAGGAAGGGGCTTAAGCTGGGCCTGGAAGGGCTCATGATACCCTAGATACTCCATGCTACTCACGCTGGTTGGGTTTTATTGCAACTTTACTTGCAGAATTTCTCCCTAATCGGTAGTAGGTGATGCCCCCATGACCTCTTCTGGCACCAGGCTTCCCCGGCCTTCCTCACTGTGCCAGGCTCCTCTCTCTCCAGGTGTGCCGAGATGATCATCAGCATGGACAGCAGCCAGGTCCACAGCAAAGACCCCCGCTATGGAGCCAGCCCCCTCCACTGGGCCAAGAAAGCAGAGGTAGGTGGCTCTGGGGGAGAGGGGGCCTGGTTCCTGCGGGGACCCTGAGGATGGCGCTTGGGAGTTTGATCTCGCGGTGGGCGCCCAGGCAGAGAGGACCAAGGACAGGTGAGTGCTCACTGGCACGGTGCCTGTCCCCTCTGCGGCTTTCTCCTGTCGGCACTGGAGGTCCCATCTCCTGCCTCTGGAGGTGTGACCTCAGCAGGGTATCGTGGGAGAAAAATCCTTATAAATTGTCAAGTGCCTCATAAACAGAAGGTTGAGGTTGGTGGCATGGCTGCCGCTGGCTCCAGCGGCCTCTCTCTGAGGCCTCTCCCCTCGCCACACTCCGTCTCCCTGGGAGGAGGGCTCTCTGGTCTCTCCTTTCTGGGGAGCACCGCTTGGCAGGCGCTGGGTGGCCCGGAGGCCAGGGCCGCCCCTGGCTGCGACGGGCCAGGAGGGAGAAGGCCCCCACTTCCAGGTCCTGTCTTCATGCCAGGAGCTGGCCAGCAAGCCAGGGGCTCCCGTGTGTGTTTGTCATTCGTCGTTACCACACTCAGTGAGGTAGGGCCTTGCGTCTTACAAGAAGAGAAAGCTGAGGTGCAGAGGGGCGCAGTGACCCGCCCAAGCTCAGATAACTGGGGTGAGCGGGGCTGCTCAAGCCTATTGGGCTTCGAAGTCCAGGCTCCTTGGGGTGCAGGACGAGCAGTGGTGCGTGTGGCCACGTCCCGAGGAGGGAGCCCACTTGCAGGGTCCCAGGGAGGGTGACCGAGTGGGGCTGTTCCCAGGCACAGGCCCTGTGAGCTCCTGGGAAGGACGTGGATGCCTCGTAAAACAGTGGGCACATCTTCAGCTTTTTGGCCCCTAGTTCTTGGGGTGCTGATGGAGCCCCGGTCTGGAGCCAGCCCCAGAACCGAGGCCTGCCAGCCGGGCCCGTCTGTGGCTGCAGCTCTCCGGAGGCCCCGCACCGCAGGCCTCTGAGGGCGGGAGCGGCAGTGCCCAGGCGCCGCCGGCTACAGCGGCTGACACGGGCGGATCCGTCTCCCGCAGATGGCCCGCATGCTGCTGACACGAGGCTCCGACGTGAACAACACCAGCTCCGTGGGCAACACGCCTCTGCACGTGGCAGTGACGCGCAACCGCTTCGACTGCGCCATGGTGCTGCTGACCTACGGGGCCGACGCCAACGCCCGCGGGGAGCACGGCAACACGCCGCTGCACCTGGCCATGTCGGTGAGCCCGCGCCCGCACCCTCGCGCCCGCGCCCGCCACCCCCCCGCCTGGCTCTGCGGCGGGCGCAGCTCTGGCTGCTGACTGTGGCCTCTGTCAGCCCGCTGTCGGCCCCCCCTGCAGAGCTGCCGAGAGGAGTGAATGGGAGCACTTGGTGGCTCTGAGGACTGTCTGAATGACACACGGGACCTGGCGCGAAGTGAGTCCTCAGGCGCCAGTCCTCCTTCGTTACTAGGGAACCCTATCTGTCTGTGCCTGGTTCTCCTTTTAAAATTCGTATTGATTTCAGAGCGGAGGGGAGAGAGAGAGAAGTATCAGTGATGAGAGAACCCCTGACCAGCTGCCTCCTGCACGCCTCACACTGGGATTGAGCCTGCAGCTCCAGCCCATGCTCTGGCTGGGAATCGAACCTGACTTCCTGGTTCATAGGTTGACGCGCTGAGCCCGCTGGCCAGCTGTGTATTGTGTTGTGTTTTGTTTGTTTGTTGTTGTGTTTTTTTGTGTGTGTGTTTTTTTTTTTTTTGTGTGTGTGTGTGTGTGTTGTTCTTATATCCCGGGTGGACTCTAAGTTCCTGGGAGGCAGGGCCTGCTGCCACATCTGGGCGGCAGGCGGTTGGTGTTGGTCACGCTTGTTGGTGTCTTACAGAGCATAGTTCCTGCTCCGCAGGCCGCGCAGTCTGGTTAGGCGGCTACAGGATGAGCATATTGCGCGAGGGGAGGGCATGTTACTGTGTTATAAACACATCTGTGTGTGTGGTGTGTGTGTGTAACTGTAGCAATACCACATGCACAGAAGTCTGTTTCTAAGTCTCGGAGTGAGAGAGTGGGAGGCTGTAAAAGAAGTCGATTTAGGAAAAATTCAAAGACATCCTGTTTTATACCAAAGGTCATGATTATAGAGCAGCGTTGCTCAAGAGGCTGAGGTTATAAATAAAACCCTGGGCATTTTTATCCCGAATGGGCCCTTAGGATGATCCCGTTCAGCAGTTCTTGAACACGTTGGTCTCTTTGGTCCCTTTGTGCTCTTAAGAATAATTGAGGGCTGAAGCCGGTTTGGCTCAGCGGTAGAGCGTCGGTCTGCAGACTAAAAGGTTCCAGGTTCGATTCTGGTCAAGGGCATGTACGCTGGTTGTGGGCACATTCCCGGTAGGGGATGTGCAAGAGGCAGCTGGTCGATGTTTCTGTCTCATCTGTTTCTAACTCTCTATCTCTCTTTACCTTCCTCGCTATAAAAAATCAATAAAATATATATATATATAAAAAAGAATAATTGAGGATCCCAAAGATGAGGGTCTATTTTTAATCCTCGCCCGAGGATATTTTTTTCCATTGATTTTTAGAGAGAGTGGAAGGGAGAGTGAGAGACAGAGAGAAACACTGATGTGAGAGAGACACATTGATTGGTTGCCTCCCGCATGCTCCTGACCAGAGCTGGGAGCTTGCAGTTGAGATACCTACCCTTGATGGGAATCGAACCCGGGACCCTTCAGGCTGCAGGCCAATGCTCCCTTCACTGAGCCAAACCAGCCAGGGCCCAAAGATTTTTTATATGAATTTTACCTGTGTATGATTACCATCTTAGAAGTTAAAAGTGAGAAAATTTCAAAATACTCATTAATTCATTCAACTATAATTTACCATCTCATACTAACATAAATGATATTTTTATGGGGAGGGGACCCACAAAATATAATTGACTGAGAGGAGATGGCGTTGCTTTACATTTTAAAAAAATATATATTTTATTGATTTTTTACAGAGAGGAAGAGAGAGGGATAGAGACCTAGAAACATCGATGAGAGAAAAACATTGACCAGCTGCCTCCTGTGCACCCCCTACTGGGGATGTGCCCCTGACCGGAATCGAACCTGGGAATTTTCAGTGGGCAGACTGACGCTCTATCCACTGAGCCAAACCGGTTTCGGCTGTTTTACATTTTTTGAATCGTTTTACTGCCTGGCCTCAGGGCAGACATGGTTCTCGCCTCTGCGATGCTCACCTGTGACGTGTGCTGGGACACGTTGAAGAACATGAGGAGAGCCTGGCCTTGCAGAGGCCTGTGGCTGGGAAGGACAGAGAACTGTGGATGCTTCCGACAGGGTGGCAGCTTCTGATAGGCTGGCTGCGGTGGGCCCTCCGCACTTCACACACCAGGCCTGCTGCCCAGCTTATTTCTATGGGGGGAGCGCGCGTGCGGCAGGAAAGAGAGCCTCGATGACTCTGGGTTTGATGCCGCTGCCTGGCTTAGTGCCCAGCACCAGCACTTCACCCGCCATTGCTTTACGCCATCGGTGCAAAGGCAGACATCTTGGTATTTTTACGAGAACAGCCTTAACCTCCACCTCCCAAACCTCCCGAAGGGCCTCCGCATGCCGGGCCCACAGACCTTCCTCAGCGCGGCTTCATGGCTTCCCGGGCTGCAGTCCCGGCAGCACCATCTTCACGTTTGGGGCCCGTTCGTGGACCTCTTTACAGTGATGGGCTTGATTATTTCTTCGAGTTGGTTTTCCAGTCCCGGAAAGCTATTTGGGAGGAAGTGATGTATCACTGCCATCAGTGGTTAAGCCAGAGCCACAGCTAAAGGTAACCAGAAGAGAGCTCCGTCACTCATGTCTAGAGCACGCATGTCTGTGCCCCCGAGCTCTAATGGACGTGAACAGCTGTGGGGACAACTGCATTCTAGACACACCTACCTCTTCACTCTCTAGACCAGGAAATCAGGCTCCAAGACGAGGGAGGTAATGAGACCAGAGCTTTGGCCTGGCCCTGGGAAACCAAGCCATGCCCCACCGCCCAGTCTCCAGATGGTCACTGCACAGCGCCATGTGCAGCAGGCGGCACTGAAGGCTGCCATCAGGGAGGACAAGTGCATGGATGCCCCTTGGGACTAGCATACTGGCCCAGACCAGCAAGACAGCCTTCCCATTCCTTGCTCACCCTCTCCTCCTCCTGAAAGCACTCAGTAGCCAACCCTTCAGTGTCCCCATACCTCCTGGGTTGGGCGTCACCGATGCATTGCTTCCTGAGAGAAGGAGCGGTGCGGCTGGGGGCCAGTGAGGCACTTGCAGATTCTGCCTGGGTTTTGAAGCCTCACCTGGGGGTGCTAAGCCTGCTGGCAGGGCACCAGCCTCCAGATTGTAGACTGGAATTCCAGGTCAATGGGGCAGGAGATCAAAGGTCCCAGTGTTGCCCTGGCCAGTTTCCTCAGTGGTTAGAGCATCAACCCAGAGAGAGGGACACGGGTTTGATTCCTGGTCAAGGGTATATACCTCGGTTGCAGGCTTGATTCCCAGCCCAAGTCAGGGCATGTGTGGGAGCAACCTATCCATGTGTCTCTCTCCAATCGATTTTCCCCCCCCTCTCTCTAAAAGTCAATGGAAAAATACCACTGGGCGAGGATTTAAAGAAAAAGGGTCCAGGGTCCCTGCCGTGCTGAGGAGAGGCTCTGAATTGGGAAGCGTGCGAGAGGCTGGGCTCCTGTTCCTTTTGTTTCCTTGAGCTGTTGGCTCTTTCCTCCAACCCCCGCTCCATCCCCAACAGAGAGGCAACGTGGAGATGATCAAGGCCCTCATTGTGTTTGGGGCAGAGGTGGACACCCCAAACGACTGTGGGGAGACCCCTACCAACATAGCCTCCAAGATCGGCAAAGGTGCGTGCTCATCACCCGGTCCAGCTTTGGGCAGGCGTGGGGTGCGGGGTGGGGAGGAGGGAGGCCCAGCTGGGGCCCAGCGTCCTGCTTGTCCCCACCCCATTGCTCCTGCGCAGGGTTTCTAGGAGGACCTGGGAGGCTGAGACGGGAAGCTTCTGTTTCCCAAGAACTGGGGCCCCGACCAGTAGATGGAGCCCACAGGGGCCAAGCCAGTCCCCGCCCCCCTCGTGCAGCCCCATCCCACGTCAGGGTGCCAGGGCTCAGGGGGTGGGGCAGGCAGTGGCAGTCCTTTTCCTCAGTCTTTGAGAATTCCCTGATGGAACCACTACACATGTGCATGTGTGTCCTGTGCTCAGGCACCCTGCACGCATTACACTACACAAGTGTGTGCATGTCCCGTGCTCAGGCACCCTGCATGCATTACACTACACAAGTGTGTGCATGTCCCATGCTCAGGCACCCTGCACGCATTACACTACACAAGTGTGTGCATGTGTGTCCTGTGCTCAGGCACCCTGCACGCATTACACTACACAAGTGTGTGCATGTCCCATGCTCAGGCACCCTGCACGCACTGCATGCTCGCTTGGTGAGCCTTGGCTTCAGGGCTGGAAAAAGCAGGTGCACCTCACCAGCAGCCTGGAGCCCCCTCTGGAGGTGTCCGGGGGCTGCGGAGGTTGCCGTGGGTGTGTACCCACCAGTGTGTATGCATGTGTGTACACATGTGCGCGCGCTGCCTCTTGTGGCATCCTTTCCAGTCACCCCATGCGTCAGATGGGCGAAGATGCCCGCTGGCTGGCTGGCCAGTCCCTTCGAGCTCCGAAGGACCCTGCACTCAGCAGCTTTGAGAATTGCTGGATATGGAGGTGGGAGTTCTGCTGTCTTGGCTGGAGTCGAAGGGACTGGCCTGCTCCTGCCATTTTCCACAGTCCACCCTGCACCTTCCCGGCCTCCGGAAGCTGCTTGGGATGAAACGGACTAGAGTCCGCATCCCTGCCGGGGTGGGGTCGGCTCCCACGTACCCAGGCCTGGTAGGCGGGAGCGGGAGGGGCCGTGCGTGGAAGGGAGGGCTCTCACTTGCATGATGACATCATTTCTGATCCAGTGCGATTCCCCCTCCCCACACTGTCCCCAGCTGGCACCAGGAAGACAGTCTTAACTCTGCTGAGAATCATAGGGGCCGGCCACCGCTTCCCAGGGGCCCCCTCGGAGCTGGGCTCCTCAGCAGCACAGCATTCCTTCTGCGGGGAAAGATCTCAGCCCCCACCGATCAGCTTAAACAACCTAGGTAGGCCCCCCCCACCATGCTCCCTCCTCTCGGCTGGTTCCCAGGCTCTCAGATCAGAAGGGCCCCCGCATAGAAGCCGGCCGCTCACAGAGCCGAGGCCACGGGCCCCTGGCTAACATGCCACGGCCCGTTCCTCCTGCAGGGATGCCCTGGACACGGGTCTCGGTCTGGGCTTGCCGGGCGCCCATGAGGTGGGTGCTTTCGTGGCCTCTGTCCCCCGGGAGTGCAGGGTGGAGTGAGGAGTTCTGTTTGGTGTCGGAGCCCTGCCCTTGGGCTTCAATGAGGAATGTTTCTGCCTGAGGCCTGGGTGCCTCCCCTGGCCCTTTCGTGACCCAGTCAGCTTCCGCCCTGGGCCTCCCTGGTGCCTGTGGAGCTGCCCCCAGGGGCCTCTGAGATAGCCCCAGGGCCCTAGATGGTCTGGGAAGGGGTCCCCTGAACAGGGCCGTCAGAAACCCAGCCTTGGTGAGCCTGACTCTTTTTTTTTTTTTTTTTTTTCTTTTTTCCTGTTGGGGAAGCAACTCCAGCCAGGAGAGCCCAGCCAAGCCTGGAGCCCAGTCAGTCCTCTGGTCTACTCTCCCCTCCCCCTGGCCACCCCCCTCCAGAACCTGCCCTCCACCTCCATCTCTCAATTCACAGGCAGGCAGTCACCCACGCCAGGCCGGATGGTGGGCCTGGGCGCGGCGGCAGATGGGAAATGCCCTGGCCTAGAGGGGCCAAGCGCGCCTTGCCCCGAGTTAGCTGTAGCCGAGTTCCCTCTTCTTCTCATTTGCATGCCGACACGTGCACCTGCTGCCCTCCCTGCCTGGCCCTCTGTCCACCGCTCTCCTGGACAGCCTCCCGCTCGCTCATCTTGCCCACTCTGGCCGCCTGCTGGCTGCTTCCTGCTTTGCTGCTTCTAGACTCCATGCTCAGCAGCATAGAGAGCCCGGATGACCTGACACTGCTGGGCCAGGCTCCTGGGGCCCAGCTGCTGGTCAGGAGGGCAGCTCAGGCACGGGGTGGGCACAGGGGACGCAAGGACTGAGTGGACGGGCGCATCCAAGTGGAGAGGCCACTGAGGAAGTTTTCAGAGGGATCAGCGTGAAGAGGGGTTCGGGTCTCCCGCCATGCATGGAGTTAAATCCCAGGGAACATCCTGACTTGGCCCTTTTGGCTCAGTGACCGTGGACGGGTCCTGTCTGCGAGTTGGGATGACAGCTCTGGGGATGGTGGGTGTCAGCAGCACAGCCAGGTGTGTGAGGAAGCGGACTGGAAGCACAGGACACATCGGGTGCCTGTGCCTCGCAGCCCTGAGGGGAGACACCGAGCAGCAGCTGGCCCAGCAGGTGGGGCCTGCGGGCTTTGGCTGAGCTGCTTCCTGTGACAAAGAGCTCTTCCCAGGGCAGCAGGCAGATGCTCCTGCTAGGGATGGTGGGGTGAGGGCTGGCACCAGTGCTCCTGGACCTTTTTTTTGGGGGGGGGGGCTGGCACCTGCCCGGCTTCTGCCCACCAGCCCTCTGCCCTGCAGAGCTGCAGGACCTGGTGCACATCTCCCGGGCCCGGAAGCCCACCTTCATCCTGAACTCCATGCGGGACGAGAAGCGGACGTGAGTGAGGAGGGAACGGGGGGCTGGGGGGGGAACGTGTGCACTTGGGGCTTGTGTCCAGCCTGCCCGCGGTCCTGAGGCAGCTCGGTCCTCTAGCACAGCGAGGAGGCTGAGTGTTTAGAGAGCCTGGGGCGGCTCCTTCGCCAGTGGCCGCGCAGGCTCTGGGTCACCTGATGCAGTGGCTGCAGCCCTGTCCCTTCCTCGAGACCTGTCTCCGATGTGGGGCCGGTGCAGGTCCTCTGTGCAGCCCAGGGCCTGCTTCCCCCAGATTCCGCTCGCTCCTTACCTGCCTCCCGAGCACCCGCTCTGCACCCAGACCCACTGCACAAGGCGGGCCTGGGTGATGGGCACCAAGAGCGGAAGCCCTGCCCTGCCCTGGATGACAGTGCCTAGAGCCCAGAATCGGTGCCCAGCAGCACATCAGGCCAGCGGGATGACATGGTTCCCAGCGGCTGCTCTCTCCCTCCCTCAGTAACAGAGAGGCTTGTTCTCTACAAGAGGCCCAGTGCAGGAAGTTCGTGCCCTGGGGGTGGGGGTCCCTCAGCCGGCCTGTGCCCTCTCACAGTCTGGGAGCCCCCCGCCGAGGGAGCCCCATCCCCCACCGCAGCACTGCCTGCCAGGATGCGGGGCTGCCCTCTGCGGGGCGATCATCTCGGGGCTCTCCAATGGGTCACCCCAGAGAGAGCCCGGCCCACCCAGCCAGGGCTGTGATGGATCGCCCCGCAGAGGGCGGCCCGGCTCCCTGCTGCAGCCCGCTAACAGTGCCCTGGTCTCCCTCTGCAGGGCGATCACGGGGGAAGGCTGGGCCCCTGACCAATCACCTCGCACCCGCCTTGCTGGCCCGCTGCCAGTGGGTGTCATAGCGTGGTAGTCCAGACGGTCGTTCCGCTGTTTGGTCAGTTTGCACATTACACTTTTATTATTACAGATGACTGTCCATGTGCCTGTTCCAGCAGCCTCCTAGGGACCAGCAGCATCCCTTGACCACTCGTGTGCCTGAGCTCCATTCCTTCATTCCTCCATTCCTGCGTTCCTTCAGTCCCGCACAGGGCTGCTTATCTCACGTGCCCATCCTGCGGTCATGGGCGCCCGGCTCACGGCTTGAGTGCGGGAGGTAACGTGCTGGCGGTGACGAGCCTCTTCTCCCCCGTGCTGTCCCCCCGCAGCCACGACAACCTGCTGTGCCTGGACGGAGGGGGCGTGAAAGGCCTGGTCATCATCCAGCTCCTCATCGCCATCGAGAAGGCCTCGGGCGTCGCCACCAAGGACCTCTTTGACTGGGTGGCCGGGACCAGCACCGGAGGCATCCTGGCCCTGGCCATTCTGCACAGTGAGACGCCCGCAGGGCGGCCGGGCGGGCTGGGCTCCGGGCCTGCACACGCTGGCCGGCCTCGTCTTGACTGGTATCTCCTTTGGGGGGCTCTCCAGGCTGTGGGGAGCCTCTCAGAGCAGCACCCCCCTCCAGGCAGGCAGTGCCCTCGGCCTCGGCCTCCCTGACTGTGACCCCTGCCTGGTCCAGTCGGAGCCCGTACTCTCCTGATCTGAGGGCACCAGGGGAGGACCCTTCTGCACCCGGGCATCAGGGCCAGGCCTGTGCGAGGTGCTAGGGACCCAGGCCCGAGTCAGACACACCGGGGAGCCCCAGTCTGAGGGGTGTTCGCCGAGGGAGGAGGCCACGGCCCAGCAGCCACCGTGTGAGGGACCTGGGCCAGGAGGGGCCGGGAGCAGCGACCTGGGCTCTGGGAGGAGGGTCCTCAGCTGGTGCGTTGCCAGGTTTTGGCATCCCAGCAGTTTACTGCCTGGTACTTCACATCGTGTTTATGATGGTCACCGTAGCCTCCTGAGGTTACAACGGGGGAAACTGAGGGCCAGGCCGGGTCTCCATCTGTGCGCCCCGCCCGTTGGCTCCTGGCTCCAGGTCCCACGTCCCTCTCTGCTCTTCAGTCCCTGCCTCTCCCCCAGAGGAGCCTCTCAGGGCCCGCCTCCACCGGGGACATCAGTGGGGGGAGAAAGCCCAGCCGCTCCCCCAGGCAGAGTCCCTTCCCCCTTCAGAGGACCCGGGCCCCGTCCAGGGTCTTCAGACTCCTGGGGGCTGCGGAAGGGGTCTGGGAGCGCCCCAGTTAGACCTGTCACCGGCAGAACCCCCTCCACAGCCCCCGCTTGCCCACCCGGCCGGTGAGGCACGTGGGCACCTCACCTCACCTCCTGTGAGCTGCAGCCTGCCCTTGACCTGTCGTTGGAGGCTCTGAGGACAGGGCTGGTTCTTATTTCCCACGACACACAGAATAGATCAGATTTAAAAGCTCATTTTCAGGGGAAATAATGTGCAATTGTGAATAGGAAGTCAAGTCCAGGGCCTTGTAGTGCTGAAGGGGACCTCTGCCTGGGGGGGGGGGGGGGGGGGGCAGAGGGGCCGGAGCCCAGCGTGGTCGGGCCCGGGCGGAGCTGCCCTCACCCGCGGCTGCCGCACCGCTGCTTCCTCCAGGCAAGTCCATGGTCTACATGCGTGGCGTGTACTTGCGCATGAAGGACGAGGTGTTCCGGGGCTCCCGGCCCTACGAGTCGGGGCCCCTGGAGGAGTTCCTGAAGCGGGAGTTCGGCGAGCACACCAAGATGACGGACATCAGGAAGCCCAAGTGAGCTCGCACAGCGGCCTGGGCTGTGGCAGCTGAGCTGGTCTGGGCAGAGGCTCCGGCCCTGGTCTGATTGGGGGGGGGGGCGGGGGCAGCTTCATCCCATGGAAATGAGGGGCTCTGCGTGTCCTAGGCTCAGAGGGCTCGATGCCCCTCAGCACCCAGCCAGGACTTCTTTGCTGAGCACGGACGGCTCTGCCCCAGGCTGGAGGGGGGGGAGGGGCGGGGGCAGAGAGGTAATGGATGCAGCTGCAGGTGGGAAGGCTCACCCCTGGTGGGAGACAGGTGAGCTGAGAAAACAGCAGCCATGTGCAGGGGATTCCAGAAGAGCCTGCAACACCACTGCTTCCTATTCTCCCCGCCCCAGAGCAGCTTAAAAACTGCTGCTGTGCCTGATGTTATAAGGTGTCCAAATGGTCCGTGGCAGGAAAAGGCTCCCCACCCCTGATCTAGGCCACTCTGACAGAACTCTGGACGTGAGGACTTGAGGCCTCCCCCGGGCGAGGCGCGCTCACAGACTGGAGGCCTCACTTCTGCTCACCCCTTTCCGGGATCTCTCCCTCCCTCCTTCGTCTGCAGGCATGGGGGAGGGGCAGTTCATTTCTGTTTACCTTTGGGGTCCCAGACTAATACAGGGAGGGTCTCTCCTTAGACCCTCACCTTTGGTGGGCCCTGTCCCTCCGGCCCCCGGAGGCCCTCAGCCCTGCAGTGTAAGTGGACGGAGCTTGGTACCTGCTGCCAGGTCGACGTTGGGCCTGCCGCTCACTTACCTCTCTGGGGGGGGGTCTTGCTCTTCCCTGGGACATACCCTGGCATTCCCTTTCTGTCTTGTTGGGTCTGTGCTTTTAAGTAGATTTTTTAAAAAGAAATCTTTCCCAGCTTTTAATTTCTTTTCCAGTGGAAAGATGTCCAAATTACCTTCCGCAGTATTCCCAGAAATGGAAGACTAGCATTTCTTCCTGGGCAGTGTTTGCTCCCTCCCTTTACATCTGGCTTTACAATATGGCAGATGCGTTCCTGTGTGACTCTGACCCCCTCCAAGTGTAACTCTGAGTGTCCAAAACAGCACTGTGCTCTCTTGCGCTGCTGCTGTTTCGAGGGGCCCACGTTTCACCATGTGCGTTGCCCTGAGACCACAGCTGTTCAGGGAAGCTGGGGCCGGAGGGTTCCTTTAGGCGGATTTCCTAGCGTGGCGTCCAGGCCAGAGCCAGGGCACTGAGAGAGTCTCCCAGGGGCTGTGCCGGTCTGCACCCCCCGTATGTAAGGGTGCCTGGTCTCTCGGACGAGTAGGAATCTTCTTTAGCAGACTCGCATAGCAGCTGGACACTGACGGGGGCCTCAGGGGACACGGGGAGGGGACCACAGTCTCCTGAGCTGCGGCCCCTGTTCCCAGTGCCGCTCACGGCCCTTCAGTTACCCTCCCACCAAGCAAATAGGTACATGGGTTTTTGGGGGGATTTCTCATTAGGTAAATGGTGGCGTAAGACCCGCTGTCCCGAGCCTGGTTCTTACCCTGGGACACAGCCCTCGGTGCTCAGGGCCCATCAGCTCCGGGAGCCGCCCGGTCCCTCTGCAGCGGCACGGGCCCACCTCCACGCCTGCGAGAGACATGGCGCGCTCCCAGGAGTGGGCTGACGCGGGTTGGGGGAGGGCGGGGGACGGGGGGCAGTCAGTGACTTAGCCATCCCGTTCCTGTTCCCGGCCCTGCTTCTCCAGGGTGATGCTGACGGGGACGCTGTCGGACCGGCAGCCGGCCGAGCTCCACCTCTTCCGCAACTACGAGGCCCCGGAGTGCGTGCGGGAGCCTCGCTGCGGCCAGAACGTCAACCTCAAGCCTCCGACTCAGCCCTCAGGTGAGAGCCACCTGACCGATCTGTGGGAGCCACTGACCTGCGAGGCGTGGGGTGCGGGTGGGAGTCGTGGGCTTGTCACTGGGCACCCGTCGCCCACCCGCTCCCATCGCTGCTCTGAGGCTTTAGTGCTGAGGACAGACCGAGTGGGGAGCTGCCAGGCCTCGGGCAGCTAGTGGGGGCCCCGGAGGCCCTCAGCTGCACCCCACCTTCCACAGGGAGGAGGGGCAGACAGCATGCCACACACATGCACACATGCACACGTATACACAGGTATGCACACACACACAGACACACATATACACAGACACATGTACGCACATACATGTACACGCACACATGTGCGCACACACACACATCCTGAGATCTGAAGAGCTGGGCCGCCCTCCTTCCCACCTCAGAGCAGCTGGTGTGGCGGGCAGCCCGGAGCAGCGGGGCAGCCCCCACCTACTTCCGGCCGAGCGGGCGCTACCTGGATGGCGGGCTGCTGGCCAACAACCCCACGCTGGACGCCATGACCGAGATCCATGAGTACAACCAGGACATGATCCGCAAGGTGAGAGCCACCTCAGGTCAGCAAGCCGCCCCCCCCGCCCCGCTCAGCAGACCCGGGGTCACCCGTGCGGTCACTGCCTGCGCTCTCAGCGGCAGCTTTGTCTCATGCACCTGCGTGGCCGGTGTGTCTGCCCGAAGCTCTGTGCCCAGAGTGGTTCCGAGCTCAGTCCAGACCAGTGGGGCAGCGGCCTCTGGGCTTGGGTCCTGCCTCTGCCCTCCCCTTCAGCCACTCCCTGTGCTCCGCCCTGTGAGGCATTCAGGACAGCCCCTGACCCGCGTGCGCATGGCCTGCTGGCTGCGGTCAGCATGCGGTCATCGCTAAGCTCTCATGCTTCCTGGGTGGCGAGCCAGGGCTCTGCCTCAGAGGGGGAGCGCCCTCTAGGGGCCAGGCCTGGCAGGGCAGGCTTCCTGGAGGGAGGAGGCTGTGGGTGAGGAAGGTCCTGGTCCTGTGACATCCTCCCTCTAAGCTGCTCCTTGTGGAGCGACTGCTGCTGAGTAAAGGAGGCAGCCCAGGCTGTGCCCCTCCCCAGGCACCGCGCCTCCTCTGCCCCCCAGAGCCCCCTCCGGGCCTCACTCCCCCGAAAGGTCCGCCGGGGGAAGGTCTCTGCCGACCCCTCCTGTCCCTCCAGGGCCAGGGCAACAAGGTGAAGAAGCTCTCCATCGTCGTCTCCCTGGGGACAGGGAAGGCCCCGCAGGTGCCCGTGACCTGTGTGGACGTCTTCCGTCCCAGCAACCCCTGGGAACTGGCGAAAACTGTGTTTGGGGCCAAGGAACTCGGCAAAATGGTGGTGGACTGTGTGAGTATGGGCCCCTCCCCAGGCCCCCCTTCCAGGTCTCAGCCCCAGGACGGTGCCCTCCCCGCTCCTGTGGTACCCGCGTGCCAGGGGCTCTGCGGACCCTCGTTAGCCAGCTCAGGGGGGGGGTCCCAGTTCCGTCTCAGTGCCAGGGCTTCAGCATCTGTTAGCCGCAGTGCCTCCCTTCGCAGCCCGCAGGGTGTCTGATGGCAAAGGCTGCAGGGGTGGGGCGTGGAGACTGTCCACTCAGCCCGCCCACCCGTCACACTGGCTGACCTCAGTGGTGCTGCTGAGCCACCATGAAAGCCCCAGACCTGCCCCTTCGATCGCCCAGCTGGGCAGTCACTGCTGCCCAGGGGAGGGCCTTGCCCAGGTCCCGCTGCGGATGGGTGGCTGAGCCAGACAAGGGGTCCGACCAGGGGCTGTGGGGGGGCTGGGTGCTCATGGGGCTCCTTCTCCCCAGTGCACGGATCCGGACGGGCGGGCCGTGGACCGGGCCCGGGCCTGGTGCGAGATGGTCGGCATCCAGTACTTCAGGTGAGGGCGGCCCTCAGCCCCAGCCCGCTCCCTGGCCTGGCCAGACGTGGCAGCCCTCCGCACTCCTGCCCTCGGCAGGGACATTTCCCCCCACCCAGGCCGAGTCCTGGGGTGACTCCTCCTCCTTGTCTTGGCAGATTGAACCCCCAGTTGGGGACAGACATCATGCTGGATGAGGTGAGCGACACGGTGCTGGTCAACGCCCTCTGGGAGACCGAGGTGTACATTCACGAGCACCAGGAGCAGTTCCAGAAGCTCATCCAGCTGCTGCTGTCCTCCTAGCCCGCCAGCCACCGCTTCCGCCTCCCCTCAGACACTAAGGGCGCCCTCGTTTGCCAGCCCCGGGCCCTCCCGTCCTCCGGCGCAGCCGCCCGTCTGCCTTCTGCCCTCTCCCCTGGGGGTGGGGCTCGAAAAGCTACTGACACTGACCACCCCCCACCCCGTCAGCAGGGGGAGCCCACGCTCAGGAGAGGGGCGCCCCATTCAACTTTGCACCTCGTACCCTCCCAGCCACCTGCGCCTCAGTGCCCCACCTGTGACTGCCTCGGCTCCCAACGGTCGCTCCCGGACTTGTGATTCTTCCGGCAGACAGTGATTTACGAGGGGGCGGGGCGCCCCAAACTGTGAAATAAACGGTTTGATTCCGGTCGCCCTGTGTTGCGTGCACTGTGATGTGAGGCCCCCCACCCACAGCTCCCCGCAGCCGTGCCCTTCTGCAGGACCCTCGGCTTCCTGTGCCCACTCTCATGGCTGCTGTTTCCCGGCTCCCTGAGGGGGGGCCTTTCCTCCAGGCCTCCCCCAGTGTGTGTGTGGGGGGGGTTCTGAGGTGCCCCCAGGCCCACCTGCCCCAGTGGAGGCAGGCCAGAGAGAGACCCACTTTCCGGGAGCAGATGAGGTCCAGAGGGGGCGGGGCTCCGGGTCACGCAGTGAGCGGGCCAGAGGGCCCCGGTCTGCCCCGCCTGTGGACATGGAGCAGAGCTGACCCTCCCCAGCACACAGGCTGGACGGCAGCAGCGGGCGAGGGCGGGTGCTCGAGGTGCAGGTCTGAGGGGCTCGGGGGAGAGCAGGAGGCTGACAACAGTGACCCCCACTGGCTGTTCAGCCTCCAGGGGGCTGTCGGGGAGGGTCCTGGGGGAGGGCAAGGGTCCTGGCCCCTCGGTGGGCAGGTTCCTCCCAGAGCCAGGGGTCCCGGCTGGCCCGGCCGGCCTGGTCCTGGAGGTGACCTCAGAGAGGCTCATCACACACGCCCCCGGCCGCCGCTCGGGGGTAAATAATTGAAGGGCAGGTCACACGAGCCCGCCCGCGTCACAGGATGCCTCTCCCGGGTCTGGTTACGCCCCAGATCGCATGCTGACATCCCGGCTGGTGAATAATTAAGCTGCCGCCTCCTCCTGGCCGGCCCTCCATCTCCAGTCCCACTCTGTAGCCTCCTCCACTGCCGCTGAGCAGCGGGCCCCGGACAGACGGACAGACGGTCCCGATCCGGTGCTCCCCGCCCTGCACGCTCCAGCCTGCTGCTCCTCCCGGGTGCGGCTGCCCCATGGCCCCCGAGATGGACCAGTTCTACAGGTCCACCATGGCCATCTACAAGGTGAGCCTCCGCGCCCCGGCCCGCACCGGCCCAGGGCGCAAAGCCGGCCCGCTCTGGAGGACAGGCTCAGTGTGGCCGCTGCGTCTGCCAACGGGAGGCATGGGGCGGGCTGGGCTCAGCTGTGGGCCTAGGGCTGGGGGAGTCTTGGGGGGCAGTCAGTCACCCCAGTTCCAACCTGAGGCTCCCAGGCAGGGGTTGTCCACAGTCACCCAGCGAGTGCCGGGCCTGCTGAGCCGCTCTCCGCAGGAGTCTCCGCCTCCCGGATGCTGGGTGAGGCCGGACAGGGCCCGGCTGCAGCTGGGAGCAGGGCCCCTGGGAGTGGGGAGTCTCTCGGTCTCTCTGTGTCTCTCGCTGCTGATTTCCTCTCTCAGACTGGCTGCTGCGCCGCAGAGGGGGTGCTGCAGGTTCCAAACGGTTAGGGATCCCCTGTGCGGGCAGGCCTCACAGCACCTACCAGAGGGGTCAAACCCGATCCCCATTTGGCAGATGAGAACTCTGAGGCCAGAGAGGTTAATGAGCTTGTTCAAGGTCACCAGGGGAGGGGAGGGGCTGCAGGGATTTGAAACAAGACCCAAGGCCCAGTCCAGATCACGTCCACCACAGAGCGCCCTCCCACAGGCCGTGCTCGGGTGGCCTTGCTCCCAGAAGGCTCTTCTTTGAGGGGGGCAAGATCCGCCCCTGCCTCCGAGGTGCCCGTGGGCAGCCCATGTGTGCAGTCCTGTGAGGCCTGGCCTCAGACCCGGGCTTACTGGGCCCAGCTGGGGACGGGCAGACTGGCAGGCTTCCTCAGGCTAGGTGTGTGAGCAGGAGCTGGCCAGGGGGCCTGGTCTTGGACAGAGATGGCCTCTGAGGCCCGTGCAGGATTCTGGGTGGCCCCAGGTTTCTAGGCTGGCTCCCCCAGATTCTGGAGGCTTCTCATGGGCTAGGGGTGCCCTGCTCCTGAGGCCCCGAGTTGCCTCTGCCCATCATTCCTGCTTCCTCCCAGAGCATCCTGGAGCAGTTCAACCCCGCCCTGGAGAACTTGGTGTATCTGGGGAACAACTACCTGCGGGCCTTCCACGGTGAGTGCCCCCCAGCCACCTCCCCGCACAGACCCCACCCTCCCAGATCCTCCGCACCACACCCCACCCCACCCCACCCCACCCTCCCAGATCCTCCGCACCACACCCCACCCTCCCAGATCCTCCGCACCACACCCCACCCTCCCAGATCCTCCGCACCACACCCCACCCTCCCAGATCCTCCGCACCACACCCCACCCCACCCCACCCCGCCCAGATCCTCCGCACCACACCCCACCCTCCCAGATCCTCCGCACCACACCCCACCCTCCCAGATCCTCCGCACCACACCCCACCCCGCCCAGATCCTCCTCACCACACCCCACCCTCCCAGATCCTCCGCACCACACCCCACCCTGCCCAGATCCTCCGCACCACACCGGCAGCCACTCACCGTTCCTCAGCGACACCCTCTCCGCCAGTGCTCCCGACAGAAGGTCCCGAGCCACCTATAGGGTGGACGGGCCGGGGTCACACCCAGAGCCCACAGCCCCGCCCTGCCTTTCGGTTCTTCAGAGTCAAAGTCTGTCCCCCACACCACACCCTGAGCCTGCCCCCATTCCTGTGCCCCCCCTCCTATGAGCACACACAGATGCCGCCCCTCACCCAAGAGAGACCACACCAGAGTCCCGAACAGCGCCAGGCCCTGCCCCCTCATCCTGGCCTGTGCCATCTCACACGTGCCTTAGCCCACCTCCCTCTCTCATGCACCCACCCAGGCCCCACAGTGTCCCCCGCACACTCTGGCGGGAGCAGGGGTCCCGGAGGGTGGGGCGGCCGGAGGAGGGCCCAGGGCCGGACCCCTCTCTCCCGCGCAGCCCTGTCGGAGGCGGCCGAGGTGTACTTCAGTGCCATCCAGAAGATCGGGGAGCAGGCCCTGCAGAGCGCCACCTCGCAGATCCTGGGTAAGGGGCTCCCCTCGCACTGAGCTCCCCACACGTCTTGGGGCCTCCGGGCTCCCCCGAACCCCTCTTCTCCCCGCATCTCCTCCACTCTCCAGGCTCCAGGCACTGCCCCGGGCCCTGCCGGCCCCCATTCTCCATCAGGAGGGATTCCTCTTCCAGACTGGCCTTTCCAGGAAGTCCCCCCAGACACAGGTCCCGCCCCGGCTCCTCCCTCCCTGCTGGGCCGGCAGAGTTGGGACAGGCCTGTGAGGCCAGAGCAGCGGAGAAACCCAGGACTTTGGTCCCAAGCCCAGCCTCAGGGAGGCCTCCGGGCCTCTGCTGGGAGGGGGCGGGGCGGGATCCTCCCTGAGCTGCTGTTCTTGGCTCCTAGGTGAGATCCTGGTGCAGATGGCAGACACCCAGCGCCACCTGAACTCTGACCTGGAGGTGGTGGTGAGTGCGGGCCGGTCACCCTCCACACCCCCTGGGAGGGCTCCTGAGACCCCGGATGCCGCACGCTGGGCGCACGGGACTGCAGCGCTGGTTCTGGCCGCAGCCACCAGGAGGCAGGGGCCTGTCTCTCCACTCCGCAGAGCAGGAAACCGAGTCTCAGAGACGCAGCCCCTCTCCCAGGTTCCAGCGTGAGAGGAGGAGCCAGGGCAGCCGCCCCATGCCACCCCCTCCCGCCCTCCCATTCCTCCTCTTGTCCCCGAAAGGCCCTCCACATCCCCCACCCCCGACTGACCCAGGCTTCTCAGGGAGGACGTGCAGGCCCTGCTGCACCCAGACACAGCCCAGCACCCCGAAGTGCTGCACCCAGTCACAGCCCAGCACCCCGAAGTGCTGCACCCAGTCACAGCCCAGCACCCCGAAGTGCTGCACCCAGACACAGCCCAGCACCCTAAGTGCTGCACCCAGTCACAGCCCAGCACCCCGAAGTGCTGCACCCCGTCACAGCCCAGCACCCTAAGTGCTTCACCCAGACACAGCCCAGCACCCCGAAGTGCTGCACCCCGTCACAGCCCAGCACCCTAAGTGCTTCACCCAGTCACAGCCCAGCACCCCGAAGTGCTGCACCCCAGACACAGCCCAGCACCCGAAGTGCTTCACCCAGTCACAGCCCAGCACCCTAAGTGCTTCACCCAGTCACAGCCCAGCACCCCGAAGTACTGCACCCAGTCACAGCCCAGCACCCCGAAGTACTGCACCCCAGACACAGCCCAGTACCCCGAAGTGCTGTACCCCAGACACAGCCCAGCACCCCGAAGTGCTGTACCCCAGTCACAGCCCAGCACCCCGAAGTGCTGTACCCCAGACACAGCCCAGCACCCCGAAGTGCTGTACCCCAGTCACAGCCCAGCACCCCGAAGTGCTGTACCCCAGACACAGCCCCGCACCCCGAAGTGCTTCACCCAGTCACAGCCCAGCACCCTAAGTGCTTCACCCAGTCACAGCCCCGCACCCCGAAGTGCTGCACCCAGTCACAGCTCAGCACCCTAAGTGCTTCACCCAGTCACAGCCCAGCACCCTAAGTGCTTCACCCAGTCACAGCCCAGCACCCTAAGTGCTTCACCCAGACACAGCCCAGCACCCTAAGTGCTTCACCCAGTCACAGCCCAGCACCCCGAAGTGCTGCACCCAGTCACAGCCCAGCACCCCTAAGTGCTTCACCCAGTCACAGCCCAGCACCCCTAAGTGCTTCACCCAGTCACAGCCCAGCACCCCGAAGTACTGCACCCAGACACAGCCCAGCACCCCGAAGTGCTGCACCCAGTCACAGCTCAGCACCCCGAAGTACTGCACCCAGACACAGCCCAGCACCCTGAAGTGCTGTACCCAGGCACAGCCCACACCCAGTCACAGCCCAGCACCCAGAAGTGCTTCACCCAGTCACAGCCCAGCACCCCGAAGTGCTGCACCCAGTCACAGCTCAGCACCCTAAGTGCTTCACCCAGTCACAGCCCAGCACCCTAAGTGCTTCACCCAGACACAGCCCAGCACCCCGAAGGGCTGCACCCAGTCACAGCCCCGCACCCCGAAGTGCTGCACCCAGACACAGCCCCGCACCCCGAAGTGCCGCACCCAGGCACAGCCCAGCACCCCGAAGCGCTGCACCCAGTCACAGGCTAGCCTTCCCCTTTCAGACAGAAGCCCCCACCCCTGCCATCAGCACAGGGGCCCCCTCCTCCGTGAAGCCCCCCTGACTCCTGGGCAGGTTCAGTCCGTCCTCCCTCTGATGCCACCAGATGCTCCCTCTGTTCTGAGCCCGTGGCGGTTAGAGCACCTGGTTCAAAGCCCAGCCTCACCGGTTACTGGCTCTGTGGCCTTGGGTGAACTGTCCTGGCGTAGCCTCTCTGTGCCTCAGTTTGTCTGTCTGTGAAATGGAGACAATCACACCTGCCTGGAGGGTCTTGAGGATTCAGTGGAATGGATGCGTACACACCCTCTGCCTGGCACCCGGGCCTTCCAGTCCCTTCGCTGTGATGATTAGAAGGAGATTCCACTTCCCTGCCTCTGTCCCTGCCAAGACCGAGCTCCGCTGGGATGTGGTCCTCTCTCTGCAGCCTGAGGGCCTGGCCCGGGCCTGGCACTGAGCAGAGCTCATGAGTAGGAGGGAAGAATGAGCTGTGAAGGGGGCGTTGGGTGTGGGGCGTGGCCGGAGGGGGGAAGAGAGCGGGCATTCTGAAAGGGCGCAGTGGCCAGGCGTGGGCATGAGAGGGGCATCCATGAGAGGCGTGAGCCAAAGCCCAGAGCTGGGCCCAGGGGCGGTGGGGGCAGTGGTGAGGGGCCTTAGAAGGTTCTGAAGGAATTTCAACAGATTGTGACAGTCCATGGTTCTCAAACATGGGGGGGCAGGGTGTAAAACTCAGGGTGCTTTTTGTGTGATACCATTAAGTACTCATCAGTTTGGTTACCAGGTTGAAATGGGAACAGTTTTACCAGTGGAAACTGTGTGTCCACCCACACAACCCCCTGGCCACCCGGCTCTGAGGTGGATGCAGCCCTGAGCCTGCTCCGCCTCCGGGCTTGGGCGGGAGTTGTGGGGCCCGGCTCTCTCGGGCAGCTCGGGGCCACCGGTCCTGGTGTTTGACGGCTCCCCGGTCACTGGGGCACCCTGGGCCGCACAGGGACAGTGTCACCCAGGCCCACTCTGTAAAAGGAGCTGCCACCTCTGGGCACCGGTGTCTTGGCTGTGACAACAGGGCAGGGCCCGCGGCCAGAACCACCTGGGCAGAGCACCCAGAGGCTGCTTCCTCCTGGCTCATCCATTGGACAGCTCCTCGCCGCCTGTGCCAGGCGCTGTCCTAGGCTCTGGGGTCCCCAAGAGCAGAGCCAGACCCAGCCGGGGACAGGAGGGGCGGGCCAGTGGGAACTGTGCAATCGGCGTTCCTTGTGTCCTGCTTCCCTCGCTCAGCATAGCGTCTGTCCGTTTAACTCCTGCTGGTGCTGGATGGACGCTTGTTTTATTTCATTGCTGCGTCTTCCATTGTACGCATGTACCACGATTTGTTTACCTCTTTTTCTGTTGACAGTCATTGGAGTTGCTTTCCATTTGGGGCTATTAGAAATAGGGCTGCGGTGGCCCTAGCTGGGGTGGCTCAGTGCATAGAGCGTCGGCCTGTGGACTGAAGGAAGGGTCCCCGATTTGATTCCGGTCAAGGGCACGCACCTCAGTTACAGCTCCTCCCCAGTCTGGGCCCTGGTCGGGGCGCGTGCAGGAGGCAACCAATCGATCCATCAATGTTTCTCTCTGTCTTTCCCTCCCTCTTCCAGTCTCTAAAAATCAATGGAAAAAAATCCTCGGGTGAGGATTTAAAAAAAGAAAAATTAGGGCTGCTGTGAACATTCTTGTACATGTCGTTTTGTGAGTGTATATATTTCCTTTTGTCTTGAGTACACACCTAGGAGTGGATGGTGGGCCTTGGGGCTGATATATACTCAGCTGGACTTGAAACTGTCGGTGCGTTCTCGGAATTCCCTGGACTTTCTGCTCTCCCACCAGCAGGGCTCTGTCCCTGCCCACGTCCCTGCTGTCAGTCTTTCTGATCCTGCCCAGTCACAGCCCAGGTCCTCATGGCTAGGGAATGGTGTACCTCGTTGTGGTTACATTTTGCATGTCCTGGTGGACTGGTGATTTTAATACCTTCATTGTGGACATTTGCCTACCTTCTTGCAGGTGTGTGTTTAGCCTTTTGACCGTTTTTTATTGGGTTACTGTTATCGTTGACTTTCCATGTTCTTCAGTGTAGTCAAGACATGGGTCCTTGGTCAGATGTTCGTACAGTGAATGTTTATTCCCAGCCCACTTATTTTCTTAATGGTGTCTTTGATGATCAGAAATTTAACATTTTTATGAAGCCCAACTAGGCGATTTTATTTTTAAAATATATATATTTTATTGATTTTTTACAGAGAGGAAGGGAGAGGAATAGAGAGTTAGAAACATTGATCAGAGAGAAACATCGATCAAGCTGCCTCCTCCACATACTGGGGATGTACCTGCAATCAAGGTACATGCCCTTGCCTAGAATCGAACCTGGGACCCTGCAGTTTGTAGGCCAATGCTCTATCCTAGGGGTGTCGAACTCAATCAGAGAAGGGGCCAAAATCTAAAATCCAGCCTAAATCTCGGGCCGAATGGTTTACTGAACAGTCATAAACTGTCATTGTGATGGAAACGCAGCAGAGTGCAGTGATGACAGCGTGGTGCGGGCCACATTGCAAGGCCTGGCGGGACGGATTTGGCCCGCGGGCCTTGTGTTTGACACATGTGCTCTATCCACTGAGCCAAACTGGTTAGGGCCCAATCTGGCCATTTTAAAAAATGGTCTGTGCTTGTGTCCTACCAAGAAATCTTCGCCTACCCCCATCGCAAAGGTAGTCTCCTAGTTTTCTGGTAGAAATTCTATGTTCTGGCTTTACATTTATGTCTGTGATCATCTCAAATGCATTTTTATGTATGAAGTGAGAGGGAGTCAGGGTTCCTTTTGCCCTGGACAGATATTTGGTTGTTCCCGACCATTTTTTAAAAAATCTTCCCTTTCCCTATCAATTGACTTGGTGTCCTGGTCAAACATGGATTTGTCCTATATGTTTATGTCCATTTCTGAACTCTCCATTGATTTTCAATGGGTGTGCCACAATAATTTTTAAAATGTGCAGGGCCTGGCTATTTAGTCAAGGCTCTGACCTTTTACCCCTTAGATTGTCAAAAAATAAAAAATAAAAAATGACAATAGCCAATACAATAGCTATTCTGTGTGAATGAATCAAAATTATACCTTCTTTGGTTAGATCAGCAAAATATATATATTTTATATATATATATATATATATTTTTTATATATATATATTTTATTGATTTTGTACAGAGAGGAAGGGAGAGAGATAGAGAGTTAGAAACATTGATGAGAGAGAGTCATCGATCAGCTGCCTCTTGCACACCCTCTACTGGGGATATCCCCACAACCAAGGTACATGCCCTTGACCGGAATCGAACCCAGGACCCTTCAGTCCCCAAGCCGATGCTCTATCCATTGAGCCAAACCGGTCTCAGCTGTATATATATTTTTTGATGTGCTGCAGAATTTTAGTAATTAATTTATGTGTGCCATGAGCTAAAGATTGAAAATCACCGCTTTACTCTGACCATCAGTATCTTTGTCTATCTTCACACCAATACCACACTGTGTAAATTACTGTCATTTTATAGTAAGTCTTATAATCAAGTAGTCTAAGAATTTTTTTATTTTTTCCCCAAAATTTTCTAGTCCATTAAAGATCCTTTGCATTTCCCTATAAATTAGAAAATCAGCTTGTCAATTTCTCTAAGAAATCCTGCTGGGATTTTGATAGTGATTTCATTAATCTGTAAACAATGGTCATCTTAATAATATCTAGTCCTTTGATCCATGAACACGATATGCCTCTCTATTTCCCATAGCAATGTTTTGTCATTTTCAGTGAGGCAGTCTTGCACATCTTTTGATAGTTTTATTTCTAGGTAAATTGACTTATCATTTGACTATTTCATTTTCCACTTGTTCATTGTTTGACTTATAGTTTAGTAGGATCACTCTGGCTCCTATACTAAAAATAAAATAGTGCCCAGCTGATATGGCTCCGTGGTTGAGTATAACCTATGAACCAGGAAGTCACAGTTCAATTCCTGGTCAGGGAACATGGCTGGGTTATGCACTCAATCCCCAGCAGGGGCTGGGCAGGAGGCAGCCAATCACTTATTCTCTCTCATCATTGATGTTTCTGTCTCTCTCTCCCTCTCCCTTTCTCTCTGAAATCAATTTTAAAATTTTTTTTTAAGAATAAAAGAGCTGTAGAGGGCACAAGCAGAAGCGGCAGACCAGGTAGGAGGCTTCTGCATTGACCTAGAAGAGGGAGGTGTGGCTGGGGAAAGGGGTGCAGCAGTGGTGGTGGTGAGAAGACATCAGATTGAAAGTAGAACCAGTGAGGTTTCTGCTGGGTCGGATGTGTGTTACAAACGAAAGGAGACAGTCCAGGTAACCCCAAGGTTTTAACCTGACCAGCTGGACAGGTGGGGTTGCCATTGGCTGAGGTGGGTGAGTGCAGAGAACTGATTTAGCAACATGGAGTCTCCGTGACCTCGACAAGAGCAATTTGTTGGCGTGGCAGGGCCTAGCCTGACTGCGGGGGATTCAGGAACAAACGGGGTTCGGCCCATAGGCGGTTCCTCCAGGGGGGTCTCCCGTGGAGATGGCAGAGGTCAGTGAGTTAGTTCCCGGGGCGGCACGGAGCTGGCGGGCCTGTTCCCGGCAGCGGGCTGCCCCCCGCTGCTGCACGGAGCTCCCAGGACGAGCTGGTACCGTGGGGGCAGGGGCAGTCTGCCTGACCTGCTAGCCTCCTCGGCCCCTGGGTGGGGACTTCCTTGTTCCTGCCACCTGCCCATCATCGACAGCGTCTGCTCCGCCACTGCGAGCGCAAAGTCCGCGCTGAGTGCCGTCCTCTGCAGACGCTTCTCCGGGAGCTCCAGGCCTTCCCACCGAGCCCTGTGCTGGCCCCTGATCAGGCAGCCTCGGCTGGGCCTCCTCCCCGTCTGCCACCACAGCCAGGCCGCGGCAATGGGACGCTTCACAACCCCTCTGTCCACTCCCATGGCCGCGAGGGCTCAGCCATGTGGGATTGGAATCAGGAGTGATGTCATATGATGGGAGTGGCTTGTTCACCGGCAGTGTTTCCCGGCGAGAGAAGAGGGCAGAGGAAAACAGAATTAAGAGGAGGGACAAAGCTCCCAGCTTGTCTGCTGTCAGTGTTACAGGACATTTGAAACAATCTCCCGCACCCCGTGTCCCCTGCCTCCCGGCCCCCTCACGACAGCCCCGTCCCTCCCCCGCCTCCTCAGCGGCCCGCTCTGCAGCGCTCAGGCGCCAGCAGGTCCGTGCTGGTGGTTTGGTGCATCTGGTATTCCCTGTGGCCTCCGGTGCAGTCAGTCGTCTCCCAGGAGCCAGCCCCCTCCGCTAGTGCTGCTGCACGCTGCCTGGGTTTGAGGTCGGCCCAGCCCTGTCTCCCCTGAGCCTGTGGTTCTGTTGGGCAGTGGAGCAGGATGTGGGGGCTCAGGCAGGAATTCCAGCTGTCTCTTCAGTGGGGGCGGCCCAGGAGGAGGGCGGGCGCCGCCTGGCTGGAGGGCTCGCAGGTTGGGAAGCCGCACTTCCCGTGGGTCCAGCAGAAAAGGGCCCGCACAGGCCAGAATGTGTCCTCAGCACAGCTACACACACACACGTCCCACATCACACACACACATACACGGCTCACACCACACACACACACACACACACACACACCACACACACACACACACACACACACACACACTACACACACACACACACTACACACACACACTCACACACACACACTACACACACACACTACACACACACACACTCACACACACACACTATACACACACACACACACACGTCCCACATCACACACACACATACACGGCTCACACCACACACACACACACACACACACACACCACACACACACACACACACTCACACACACACTACACACACACACACACTACACACACACACTCACACACACACACTACACACACACACTACACACACACACACTCACACACACACACTATACACACACACACACACACGTCCCACATCACACACACACATACACGGCTCACACCACACACACACACACACACACACACACACACAGCCATAGCTCAGGGGGTTAGGGCGTGGCCAGCCCCTTACAGACCAGCAATTACCAAGGTTTCAGAAACAATTGTGGGAGGAAAAATTACAATTCAGAACTTTTATATGTACTGGTTTTCCTGCATCCGGGAAGGAAATTCCCAGCATTCCTTTCCTGGGCAATGCCCTAGTGGTGAGGGGGAAAGTGGGGGGACAGAACCCCTGCAGCACAGCAGGGAGAACCCCGTGGCAGGAGGCGGGATGCCAGCAGAGGTGGTGGTCCCCAGAGGAGGAGGGGGCAGTGTGGGAGAAGCCCCTCCCGCTCCCTGTGCAGCCCGAACCCAGGGCAAAGAGGGCCGCGGGGGGACTGACCATCTGATGCCCCCCGATGCAGAGGGGCCAGGGAACACGAGGGCGACGCAAGCAGAATGTGCCAGGCGACCGCTGCGGCCCCCAACAAAGCCCCCCGGGCTCAGAGGGCTGGGCCTCGCAGCACCTTGCCACGCCTTTACGATTACAGGAGGGGAAACTGAGGCCCAGAGGGGCAGCAACTTGTCCAAAATCACAAAGCAAACTGAGACACAGCCAGCACTAGGACCCTGCCCTCCTGAGGCTCACGCCTTCCTCCCCCGTGTCACAGGGACCTGTCGCCCCCACGGCCAAGGCTCCACAGCTCTGAGCACCTTTCTGCCGGCCCCGCCCCGCCCGCCCTGGGGCCAAGATGCAGAGACGGCAGACTTGGCTCCTCCCCACAGTGCTCGCTGCTCATGCACAAGGGCTGACGCGGGCCCAGCAGGAGGTCCTGTCCTGAGGCTGGAGGGGTGGACGGTGACAGGACAGATTACATGCCTTTCAGGAACCAAAGGATTGAGCGACCCCCTGCCGGGAGGTCAGGGCGGCGTTGGAAGACGGGTGGGGAAGCCGGGCACAGGGAATGGCGGCGCCAAAGCCCAGGTGGGGCCCAGGAGCAGAACCCGGGGCCACGGGCACATGCATGGAGGAACGTGGCACCACATGCTGTCTCTCACGTTAATGTCTGATCCTTCCTCCAACCAGGGCTCCTGCTGCCCATTTCTCTAACGACTGGGCCGGCGCCTGGTGTGTGAGCACGGGGTGGGCAGTGCCAGGGAGGCTGGGGCCTGAGAGGGGAGGGGCCCTGACACACACACACACCCCGCCCTCCGCGCAGGTGCAGACGTTCCACGGAGACCTGCTGCAGCACATGGAGAAGAACACCAAGCTGGACATGCAGTTCATCAAAGTGAGTCTGGCACCCTCCCGCCTGACAGCTGGGCAGTGCCGGGCCCCAGGGCACAGAGGTGCCCGCCCAGCGCTCTGACCCAGGGGCCAGGCGTCCAGAGCTCTGACGTGGGCCTCCCCCCCCCCCCGCCCCGCCCCGCCCCGCCCCGCCCCAGGACAGCCGCCAGCACTACGAGATGGAGTACCGCCACCGAGCGGCCAACCTGGAGAAGTGCATGTCCGAGCTGTGGCGCATGGAGCGCAAGAGGGACAAGAACGTGCGGGAGATGAAGGTGCGAGGGCTGGGACAGGGCTGGTCTCTGGGGGGCCCTTCGACACCCTCCTGAGCTCCCCCGCCAGCACCAGGCCAGGCCCAGGAGTGTGGCCTGCCCGAGCCCCTGGTGAGGTCAGCCGGCCCCCGGAGGAGTGGGAATTACTGGTCAGGGACACCCTCAGCACTGCTCTTAGCCCGTCACTTCCTGGCCCTCCCCGGGCGCCCAGGCCCCTCCAATACCCTAGCGCCTCCCTGCTCCCCCCACTTCACTGAGCGAACCGAGAACCGGATACCGGGGACCGCTGGTCCTGCTCTCCTGACCCAGGAGCCAGAGTGTCACCCAGCCTCCTTCCCCTCCGCCTGCCCAGGCTGAGGCCAGCCTCCCGGGGCCCCTCCTCCCCAGCCCTGGCCTCTTTCTCCAAGGCCTTCCTCTCCTCCCATCTCCTCTTCTGGCTCCTCTGATAACTCATCCTTTCAGAACCTTCCCTCCCAAGTAGAGGGCTATTAGTCATCTCCTCTGCACTTTCCTTAGACCAACCTCCCTGGGCCCCACTCTGCTGGGTCCTGAGCTGGGTGCTGGGGACAGGGATGTCGGGGACACACAGAGCCCAGGCTCAGGAGGACAAAGCTGCCTGTGACAGGGTGGGCCCGGAGCTAGGACGGGCTGGGTGACAGGGGAGGCCCCCAGGAGGAGGCGGCTGGGTCAGGGGGCTGGCACTCCAGGTGGGTAGGAGGAGGCACCCACCCCCTGGCTCCAGCCAAGACCCCCCTTCCCCCAGGAGAGTGTGAACCGGCTGCACGCACAGATGCAGACCTTCGTGTCTGAGAGCCAGCGGGCGGCTGAGCTGGAGGAGAAGCGGCGCTACCGGTTCCTGGCCGAGAAGCACCTGGTGCTTTCCAATACGTTTCTGCAGTTTTTCGGTCGGGTGAGCTGGGCCGGGACGGCACTGGGGTCGGGGGTGAGCTGGGCCGGGACAGGAATTGAACTGACCTCCTGGTTCATAGGTCTGCGCTCAGCCACTGAGCCACGCTGGCTGGGTTCATCTGTTCGTTTTAAGTGTGTTTTCTGTAGCTCAGTTTCTATGCTTGACCCACCTGACATCTGTCTCTCAGAGAGGAATTCGCCTAACAACTGATGTACCTGTCTTATTGCTTTTGGATAAGTTCATTTAACTGTATTTATTTGTCATTTCTTCTTTTCCTCCATTCTTGTTTATGTCATTTGGTTGAGTTACTATACATTTCCCTTCCCCTTTATTAATTTGGGAATTCTACTCTTCTCATCTCTACTCATGATGACCTCACTTTATGACCCTCATAATCACATATATTTATCTATCATCTTTTTCAAAAATACATTTTTATTGATTTCAGAGTAGAAGGGAGAGGGAGGGAGAGATAGAAACATCAATAATGGGAGAGAATCGTTGATTGGCTGCCTCCTGCCCTGGGGATCAAGCCTGCAACCCAGGGCATGTGCCCTGACTGGGAATCGAACCCACCCCCCTTCAGTGAACAGGACAATGCTCCAACTAACTGAGCCTCACCAGCCAGGATTCATTCATATTCTCTCTCTCTCTCTCTCTCTCTCTCTCTCTCTCTCTCTCTCTCTCTCTCTCTCTCTCTCTCTCTCTTTTCCCCTTTCTCTCTTTCTCTCTCTGTACTCGCCTATGCCCTGACTGGGAATTCAGCCTTGACTTCCTGGTTCATGGGTCCATGTTCAAGCACCTGAGCCCACAGGCCGGGCTCACTCTCTCTGCTTGTAGTCCCCCCAGTGAGTGCGCCCCAGTGAGTGCGCTGTGGTTTTGATTTGCGTTTCCCTGGTGACTGTGATGCTGAACATTGTGTGTTTATTGGCCACTCGTATATCTTCTTTGGAAGGAAACTCCTTTCTGCCTGTGTCCTAACAGTTAACCTCCAGCTGAGCCGCAGGTCTAACATGGCCCAGACATGAATTATGGTTTCCATGGAAGGAAGGGGCAAACCAGGAGCGGTAGACTGAAGGCAGTGTCGGACTGAGTGGTTTCAGTGGGCTCTGGTTTGGGGAGGTGTCTGTGTCTGGGACCTGGCTCGGGGGTGAGTTAGGGCAGAGAAATATTGGTCTGATGGGTGAGTGAAGGCAGTGGCTGGGGATATACAGGTCGCTTTGGATTGGCTGGTTTGCATACAAAAGGCTTGCTCAGGGGCAAGTTGTTCAGGATCCCTAGGTATTATCTACTCCACTGGAGGGGCAGCCTCTCCAGGAAGAGCGAGACCTCGGGATGTCAAAGAATCACAAAATAGCCCTGACCGGTCTGGCTCAGTGGACAGAGCGTCAGCCTGAGGACTGAAAGGTCCCAGGTTCGATTCCAGTCAAGGGCATGTACCTTGGTTGCGGGCACATCCCCAGTAGGGGGTGTGCAGGAGGCAGCTGATCAATGTATCTCTCTCAGTGATGTTTCTAACTCTCTATCCCTCTCCCTTCCTCTCTGTAAAAAATCAGTAAGATATATTTTTAAAAAAAGAATCATAAAGTATAGAAAATTTAAAACATGGCTAATATACATCACAGGTCTAACATTTATTTTATATATATTATTTTCTACAGAGAGGAAGGGAGAGAGATAGTTAGAAACATACATGAGAGAGAATCATCAACAGCTGCCTCCTGCACGCCCCCTACTGGGGATGTGCCCGCAACCAAGGTACATGTCCTTGACTGGAATTGAACCTGGGACCCTGGAGTCTGCAGGGCCCTCCTACCCAAGCTGTGGCGGTCAGCTGCTGAGTGTGTGTCCTTGAAAGTGTTCAAGCAGAGTTCGATGCCCTTGTACTGGGGCCCGGAAAAAGGGGAGCCTGTAACCACAGGGAATCTCCGGAAGGCGGTGTTTGAAAGGCTCTTGAGAACACTGCGCCAACGGGCGCAACCGGAAGTTCAAGGGTTCAGGTGCAGGTGGGCACGGAGCACAGCTGATGCCTTCAGAGGTTTGCCTTTGTCTGTTGCTTAGCTGTAGCTTTCTGTGTTGGCTTCACTCTGCCTATTTATCAAACCCCACGAGGTAAGAGGACAGATTTCTTCAGATTGTTCTGGAGTGAGCACTGGGGTTGAATTCTTTGGCCACAGTTTTGGGGTGAGTGTAAGGTGACCAGACATCCCGCTTTTGGCTGGACAGTCCCGATTTTTAACAATTTATCCCGCGTCCCGCGGCGTTTTAAAAAAAAAAAGTCCAAAAGATTTAAAAGAATCTTTCCAAAAATCGGGACTTTTTAAAAACGCTGCTGGACGCGGGGTAAATTGTTAAAAATCGGGAGTGTCCCGCCAAAAGCGGGATGTCTGGTCGCCTTGGCCTGCGTGGCCGGCCTCGGTGCCACCCTCCTGCGCAGGGCGGTGGGAGAACAACCCCAGAGCACCCAGAGGGGCAGGGCCTGAGAGCCTCTGACAGAAGTGGGCGTGCGCGGGCCTTGGTTGGATTCAAACAGCTCCAGAGTCTGCCTTCCTCGGGGTGCCCCTCGGCGTCCCCAGGATCCTGGGGGCCTCGGGCCTGGGTGACCGTGCTCTCCCCCCAGGCCCGGGGGACGCTCCAGAACCGCGTGCTGCTGTGGAAGGAGCAGTCGGAGGCCAGCCGCAACCCGTCGCGGGCCCACTCCCCCGGCCTGCTGGGCCCGGTGCTGGGGCCGCCCTACCCCTCGGGCCGCCTGACGCCCACCCGCCTGGACATGGTGAGGCCCTGGGCGCCCCCGCCGCTCCTCCCTCCGCCGCTCGCGCCCCCGCCGCTATTCGCGCCGCCGCTGATGCCCCCGCCGCTGTCCCCGGCGCCCTCCGTGGGGCCCTGGGGCCTGTGGCCCTCCGCGCGCGGCTTCCTCCCGCCCAGGCTCCAGCCCTACGCGGCGCCCCCGGCCTGGGCGGCGCCCCCGCCCTACGCGGCGCCCCCGGCCTGGGCGGCGCCCCCACTCTACGCGGCGCCCTCGGCCTGGGCAGCGCCCCCGGCCTGGCCTTTCCGGCCCGGCGCGGCCTCGGCGCCGCCCTGGTGGCTGGGCCACCGGCCGGTGAACCCCTACGCCGACTACTGGGACTGGGACTGGGAGTGGGGGCTGGACTAGGGCGCGCCCCGCCCCTCCCCGCCCCACCCGCCCTCCCTCTCCCCCCAGCCCCCCAGGCCGCTGGGAGAGTTCAGCTCCCCGCGCAGCGGGCACGGCTCCGCCTACGGCCCCGAGCCCGGCGAGGCGAGGCCCGCGTCCCAGCTGGAGCCCGACCGCCGCCCGCTGCCCCGGACGCCGTCCGCCTGTGAGTGCGGGGCGGGGCGGGCGGGGAGGGGGTGCGGGGGGACCCGGCGGACCCGGAGGACCCCCCCACCCACCTGCCGCCTCCCGCAGCCTCGCTCTACGCCGGCGGCGCCCAGCGCTCGCGCTCCAACTCGTTCGGGGAGCGGCCGGGCGGCGCGGGCGGCGGGGGCGGCGGGGGCGCCCGCAGAGTCCGCGCCCTCGTCTCGCACTCGGAGGGCGCCAACCACACGCTGCTGCGCTTCTCGGCCGGAGACGTCGTGGAGGTGCTGGTGGCCGAGGCCCAGAACGGCTGGCTCTACGGCAAGCTGGAGGGCTCGTCCACGTGAGTGCGGCGGAGGCCAGGGGGGCGGGAAGGGGACCCGGAGGCCCGGCCTCCAGCCCCGACGGAGACTTTCCCCCGGTGGAGGTTCCCATCAGCACCAAGGTCAGGTGCAGGCGCTTGAGAGGTGGGAGAATGGAGACTCACCAGCGGAACAGGAAGGACAGAAACCTTATTACGAGCACCTACTGTGCACAGGACGCCGAGGGAGGGGACAGTTTGCCCTCTGCGCCCTGAGACCGCCAGAGCCAGCTCTGCTGAGGCAGACAGACGGCGGTGGCCGCCCAGCCGCAGAGGCAGTGCTGGGACCTTGCAGGCTGGCTGCTCCCTCCTCTCAGTCACTCGCAGGGGAATCCCTGAAGGACCTGCCCTGGCGAAGGCTCCAGAGGCCGGCTGCCCAGGCCCAGGGGGCAGAGCTGGGCCGAGGAGAGAGCAGGGCTTGGAGTCAGGCACCTGGGCATGGGCGTCCCGTCCCCTGGAGCCTGCAGTTGCCTGTGGGCCTGCCCTTGGCTGTGACCTGTGGTCATGCTTGTGGCCCGCCCCCAGCCGGGCAGGGAGCCCCGGGGGAGGCGGGTGCCTCCTCTGGCCCTCACGGGTGGGTGTTCGGGGAGCAGGGATTGAAGGACCTCCAGTTCCCCCTCCCAGGAGCCCGGGCCCGTGGCGGGACACGAGGCCGGGCTGGTGGCCTTGAATGCCCAGAAAGACCTCCTTGGAGCGGTGAAACGCCGCCCAGCAGTGCCAGCTCCGTGCTCCCGGCGAAGGGGGGCTGAATCACCTTTGTGGGGCCTCCTGCTTCCCCCGCAGGAGCGGCTGGTTCCCCGAGGCCTATGTGAAGCCACTGGAGGAGGTGTCCGTGAACCCCATGAACGCCTTGAACCCCGTGACCTCCATGAACCCCATGAACGCCTTGAACCCCGTGACCTCCATGAACCCCATGAACGCCTTGAACCCCATGACCTCCATGAACCCCATGAACCCCATGAACCCCATGAACCCAGTGACCTCCATGAACCCCATGAGCCCTATGAATGAGCTACCTTCCAGGTACCTGGGTGGGGACTCCAGCGGGGGGTGACCCCACCATCAGGGGGCTATCTGTGAGTTGCAGTCCTGAGTGGGCCCAGCCCCCTTTGGCCCCTGGAGAAGGGGGCACCCCATCTCTCTAACCGTGAAGGCCATGGTGCCCATCCCTCTGCCTCCTCTCAGGTCTGCCTGCCGGCCAATAGCCTCCTCTCCCCAGGCGCCGGGGAGGAGGCTGAGGGAAGCTCAGGGCCCAGCAGATGGGGCCTGACCCCTGACCCCTGACCCCCTCCCTCCCCTCCTCTCTGGGCTCAGGTCCTACCCGCTCCGGGGCAGCCACAGCCTGGATGACCTCCTGGACCGGCCGGGCAACGCCACGGCGCCCTCGGAGTACTGGGACGGCCAGCCCCGCTCGCGAACGCCGAGCCGGGCCCCGAGCCGCGCCCCCAGCCCCGCACCGACACCCTTGCCTGGCAGCCGCCGAAGCAGCATGGGCAGCATGGGGGCGGCCCCCGATGTCAAGGTGAGCCCTCCCCCAAGTGTCCTCCACCCGGGTCCCCAGTGGGCGGGCGATGGCAGGCCGGGGACCCCTCTGCTTCGCCGCTGTGTCTGGCAGGGGCCCTCCCCCGGCCTCAGTCCGCCCGTCTGTGCGGGGAGGTGTGGGGAGGGGGTGGGGGATGTATTCAGCTCAGGGACCAGAGCCCAGGTGCCCTGCTGGGAGCACCGCACCGGGAAAGGCGTCCTCCCTGCCTCCCAGGAAGGTCAAACCGGGGTCCTGGGTCAGAGCCGGCCGGTAGCGAACAGGGAAGGCTCCCCATGAGGCCACCGCAGTGTCATCTGGGCGATGGTGGCCCTGGAGGAGGTCCTCTGGCCCGGAGGCTTCTCAGGTCTGAGTCCTGGGCCTCTGCCTCCTGGAGGGGGCGCGGAGGGCAGGAGCTGGCTGCCCCTTCCCCTCCACACTCGCCCCTCCTCCGCCCCCGCAGAAACTCATGTCCTGGGAGCAGCAGCCACCAGAGCTCTTCCCTCGGTGAGTCCGGGCAGGACGGGCCGGCGGGGCCTGGGCTCGGTGGAGGGAGACAGTGGGGGTGAGAGCGGGTGACGATGGGGCAGGAGGCAGGGTGGACACCTGGCTCAGGTGCCCAGCTGCCTTCCCTGGACCCACAGCCAGCCGAGACCTCTCTGTGACCTCCCCCCACAGGGGCACTAACCCCTTCGCCACCGTGAAGCTGCGTCCCACTGTCACCAACGACCGCTCGGCACCCCTCATCCGCTGAGGCCTTCCTCCTCCGGGGGCCTGAGGTCACCCGCACCCGCCCGGAGCCGCCCAGAGCTGGCGGCGGCAGCAGCAGCAGCAGCAGTGGATCCGAGACGCCGGGGCCTGGTCCTCCCCTGACCCGGCCCCCAGCCTGAGCAGCTCCCCGGCCGGCCCGGCCCGGCCCGGGACCTTCACTGCAGCAGGCGGAACGGGCTCAGAACCACTCCTCCCCCGCAGGGGCCCAGGACTCTCCCTGGGGGCCTACCTCACCCCCATCCTCCTCCCCTCCTCCACCCCCGTGGGGAGGAGCCCCTCACACACCCTCCCCCCCCCCCCCCCGCACTTGTCCCCTTTTAACTTTTGTAAAAACGAGAAATAAAGCAAGTGGACAGGCTGCAGGACTGGTGGTCTCTGGTGTGGGGGCTGGGCAGGTGGGCTGGAGACCTCCCACTGGAGAACAGGGTCACCACTCCTGTCCCCTCTCAGCCCTCATTTTCACAAACTTTCGGTGCCCCCTCCCCCCGGCCCCCGGCCCCTCCCCCTCCCCCTCCCCTCCCCCATCTCCAGCCTCAGGAAACAGCGGCCTCTCCAGAGGCGGCAGTGGCAGTGGCCGAGGCCAGGGGCCTCGGTGGCCTGGGACACAGCACCTTGTTCCGCCTCCCGCCCCAGGCCCAGCTGCTCCCGGATCAGCCTTATCCAGGGGGCACAGAGGCCCTTCCTGGAATGTGGCAGGGGCGGGGGCGGGCGAGGCACGGAGGTGATCGGGGCCTGGGGGGGTCTCTCCAGGACAGGCTGTGCCCCCAGCGCCGGCAGGACCCCTCACAGAGCAGGGCTCCGTGTCCGCCTGGGCCCCGGAACATGGAGCCTGGTCTGCCCAAACCCCCCGCAGGCCCGGGTGTCCCCCCCCCCCCTCCTCCTGGCCCCTTCCCCAGCCCAGGAAAAGCCTCTTAGAGGGGTGAGGTGGGAGTGCTCTAGGCCTGGACCTGGCCAGTGGCTGATCTGCGGGTGAGCCTGGCAGTCTGGCTGCCCCCCCCCCAGGCTGGGGTGCACGGGGAGCCCCTCCCGGCAGGCCTCAGACATGAGCCCGACGCCCAAACCCACGGACGGCTCCGGTGAGTGTGGGCGAGGCTGCTGAGGAGAGGACGGGGGCAGGGAAGGCCAGACGCGTCCTGGTGGGGAGGGGCAGGGTCCCCGACACCCACAGCTCCCGGCATCGCCCGGTGCCAGGAGGGAGGCCCAGGTGAGGAGGGGCTGCGGAGGGAGGGAGGCTGCTGGAGGCTGGTCCACCCCGGGGACGGGGACGCAGGCGGCTGCGCGGGAGCCCCGGGCTGAGCCCAGGGTGACAGGCTTCTGAGCCGCTTCCGCTCGAGCAGGGCTGGCGAGGCTGTCCCGTGAGAGCCGAGCTCCAACGCCAAGATTCCCCGCCGGCCTGCAGGGGGGAAACTGAGGCTCAGCTGGATGAGCTGGGAGAGGCCAATGCTGTCACACACACGCCCTTGTCCCCTCCCCCCAAATATCCCAATGACAGCAGTCACTCCTGGTCCCTGAGGATTAGGCCATAAACAGGCCAAATCTCCACCCTTTCGCTGCTGGTGCCCTCCTCCCCCACCTCACCCCCAAGCTGGTTCTCTGTCCGACATCAGACAGGCTCGCTGGGACACCCACACTTCAGTCACCCGCTGGCCGCCGGGCGCTCCGATCACCAGCTCCCCCTGTCCTGCTGCCCCGGGTGCTGGAGAGCCGGGGTGCCCGCGGGAGAGAGCCTTCCGGAAGCCAGGGCTCAGGTGGGGCCACTCTGTTATCCCTCCTCCCTCCCGTGCCCCTGGGGGGCGGGACTCTGGCTTCCCTCCCGCGCAGGCTCGGTGGAGGCCGTGCCTCAGTTTCCCCGGGCTGGGTCTCCATCCCCCTCGTCTGGGTGACTCCCCTGCTGCTCTCTCTCCTCTCTCGCAGCGGAGGTGGCGGCCATGGGCACCGGTGGCCCCCGGCGGGGAGTGGCCCCCGGACGGCGGCCGGGGCTGGGCGGCTGGGCCTGCTGCGTGGCCAGCGGCTTGGCCCACGGCCTCCCCAGGTCGGGAGCGGCTTCTCCCGCGGCTTCGGTGCCGGTCACAGCGGGGCGGCCTGAGTGTCCTCCATCATGCCGGCCGTGCCCCTGGGAGGCGGGAATTGGCTTCCTTCCCGTGCAGGCAGGGGCGGGGGAAGGGGATCCCTGATCCCTGGGCATCCGGGCCCTCGGGAACCCCTTCCTTCGGTGGACACGGGGACCCCGGAGAGGGGAGGCGAGGACAGGAGAGGGGCAGGGGCCAGAGGGGGGCAGCGCAGCCTCCAGCTGTGCCGATAAGACGTCGGGGCTCCCTCCCGCTTTGGGCTCCGTGTTCTCTGGGGGGCGGCGAGGGGCTCGGGGCCAGGACAGGTCCCCCCTGAGTCCCCGCGGGCGCCGTCTCCCCGGCTCGTCCAGCCAAGCTGGGTGCCCTCGGTGGTCCCTGCGCCTACAGGGGTGCAGAGCCTGGAGTGCGCCCCGGAGAGGAGGCGCCGGGTCAGAGCCCGCCTGCCCACCGGCCCGGTCCACCATCCTCGTGGCCCGGTTCGGCTGCCGCCCGTGAGCCGGCGGGCGGGCTGCTGGCCTCGGCGGGCATGGTCCTCGCTCCTTCGCCCGCGCCTGCTGGAGCTCCACCTGACGGCGGGGGTGCTGACAGGTGAAGGGGGTGCTGACAGGTGGGGGGTGCTGACAGGTGAGGGGGTGCTGACAGGTGAGGGGGTGCTGACAGGTGGGGGGGTGCTGACAGGTGAGGGGGGTGCTGACAGGTGAGGGGGTGCTGACAGGTGGGGGGGTGCTGACAGGTGAAGGGGGTGCTGACAGGTGAGGGGGGTGCTGACAGGTGAGGGGGTGCTGACAGGTGAGGGGGTGCTGACAGGTGGGGGGGTGCTGACAGGTGAGGGCGGGATGCTGACAGGTGGGGGGTGCTGACAGGTGGGGGGTGCTGACAGGTGGGGGGTGCTGACAGGTGAGGGCGGGCTGCCCCTCCCCTGCAGGCCCTGGGGGGGGGGGCACGGGGAGTCCTCGCTGCAGGAACGCCTGTCCTCAGTTTCCCCGTGCACGGGGAGTCCTCGCTGCAGGAACGCCTTCCTCAGTTTCCCCGTGCGCACTCCCCGGGGGGAGGGGAGGGAGGTAGGATGGGGGCTCGGGGAGCCCCGCCAGCGTCGCCCTCCCGCCCGCAGGCCTGGGCCTGGCGCCCAGCTTCCGGCCGGCGCTGGTCACGCTGGGGCTGCACTTGGACCGGCGGCGGCCAGCTCTGCCGGGCGCTTCGGCTGGTGCGGCCTCCCGCTGCGCTGCTGCCGCGGCGCCCTCCTGCGGACGCCGGGGCCCGGCCGGGGCGGGGGCAGAGCGGGCGCCGCCCGGGGGCGCAGGCGGAGGCGGGGGCGGAGCCGGAGCCGGAGCCGGAGCGCGGGCCCCGCCGCCGCCCGCCGGACGAGGCGGCTGCGCTGGCCGTGCCCTCGCCGCGTGCGCCGTCACCGCGGCCCTGATGGCGCTGGGCCCTCCGTGCCCGCCCTCCTGCCGTGATCTGCGCCCAGGACGCGGGCGTGGGCCGCCGCCTTCCTCCTCTCCGTCGCGGGCCTCGCGGCGCGGCCGGCGTGCGGGGCCCGGGCCGGCCTGGCGCACCTGCGGCCGCACGGGGGCCGCCCGCCCGGCCTGGCGCTGCCGCCACCGGCTCCCCGGCCTGGGCAGCACCCGCGCTCCCACGGCGCCCCGCGGCCTCTGCATGGCCTTCGGCCTCGTCCGCATGGTGGGCGCTGCCGCTCGAGGTGCTCATGGCGCCGTGGGCGCCGCCCACTTCCCGGCGCTGGGCCTGGTGCTGCTCGGCGAGGCCGCGGCTGTGCTCACCGGACCGCCGTCCACGGGTGCGCCCATCGGGAGGGGGTGGCAGCCCCGTGCCCCTGGGCCTGAGCTTCCTGTGAGACGGAACTTGCAGGGGTGACCGTCAGAGGACACAGCCTGGAGGGTGGGCTCCCCTTCCCGCGGCTGGCTCGCCCTCCTCCAGGCCGGCACGGGCTCTGGGTGGGGGCAGAAGAGCCAGGAAGCACCGAGAGCGGCCGGCCACCGGGTCAGCTCCGACAGCTGGCACAGAGCACAAATGCGCATCCTCCTTTGGTAGATGGGGAAACTGAGGCACAGAGCCCCACTACAGGTGTCAGTTCCAGGATTAGAGTGGCGCCCTGCCCGGCACTGAATGCCTCGCCTTTCGAACACTCCACCGGAGCGCTTTAGTGCCCAGCCCGAGTGGCTGGAGCAGGGAGTGTCTTTGGAGAGCCAGCCCTGGGGCCACGAGCAGAGTCGGGTGCTCAGGGTGCTCAGGTGGAGAAGGAGGGGCGCCGGGTTCTTCCCTGTGCACACTGCCCTTGGGCACCGGACACTCATCACCTCTCAGGGCATCGTCCTGATGAGGTGGTCCTGGAGGGCTTCCTGCAGGCGCTGGCATGAAGGCGGCTCGCAAGGCAGACCCCACCGAGGGCACAAGGCAGACCCCACCGAGGGCACAAGGCAGACCCGCAGCGGGCACAGGGCAGACCCCACCGAGGGCACAGGGCAGACCCCACTGAGGGCACAGGGCAGACCCACAGCGGGCACAGGGCAGACCCACAGCGGGCACAGGGCAGACCCCACCGAGGGCACAGGGCAGACCCCACCGAGGGCACAGGGCAGACCCACAGCGGGTACAGGGCAGACCCACAGCGGGCACAGGGCAGACCCCACCGAGGACACAGGGCAGACCCGCAGCGGACACAGGGCAGACCCGCAGCGGGCACAGGGCAGACCCCACCGAGGGCACAGGGCAGACCCACAGCGGGCACAGGGCAGACCCCACCGAGGGCACAGGGCAGACCCCACCGAGGGCACAGGGCAGACCCGCAGCGGGCACAGGGCAGACCCACAGCGGGCACAGGGCAGACCCACGGAGGGCACAGGGCAGACCCGCAGCGGGCACAGGGCAGACCCGCAGCGGGCACAGGGCAGACGCACAGCGGGCACAGGGCAGACCCCACCGAGGACACAGGGCAGACCCGCAGCGGGCACAGGGCAGACGCACAGCGGGCACAGGGCAGACCCCACCGAGGACACAGGGCAGACCCGCAG